TTTAATATTTCACCAGTAAGTATAATGGTGGCTAGGATTTGTGTAGATACCCTTGAATTTCGAGATTTTTGGAGGACTTTTTGTAGAACATCATTTCCATTATTTAGTCACCTAGTATTCACAGAATAAAGTTGGTAGTCCTTAAATGTGCTTTACAATTCCTATTCTGACCACCTACAAACTCAGGTCTGAATACCTTGTTGCTCACCTCCTTTAATTTTACTTTAATTTTCTAGGGACTTTTTTCCTTTATATTGACTTTTGCACATGTTGTTTCCAGTAACTCAAAATTTTCCTTCCTTCAAGAAGTATTCCCTGACTCCTCAAGTATGAGTTTTATGCTTTCATTCCTACCATACATATACAGATGTTTTCCATACTGTCCTGACTTCTCTGTTTATTTTCCTGTATTCTTCATTAGACCCCAAGTTCCATGAGATTGGGGCTTGCATCAGCTTAGTTAAATTAAATATACATCCAGTATCCACCCAGGCAGGGTCCAATGTGTGATAAATGTTCAATGGATATTTTTTGAGAGACTACAGGAAACAGTGAGGGAGAAGACAACTTGCTTCTGGTTGAGCGAGAATTCAGAACCAGGATTTTCTCAATCAAAAGCTCAAACTCTTACCCCTGTCAATAATATATATTCTGTATGTACTGGCTCTGATTATTTAGAATTACCTAATTTTTTTACAATATCATATGTACATTATAGTCATTAACTCATGAATGTGAAGACCACACCATATAAAAAAAGTAGAACAGGGGCTGGCGGAGTGGCTCAAGTGGTAGAGCGCCTACCTAGCAAGCATAAAGCCCTGAGTTCAAACCCCAGTACCACCAAAAAAAAAAAAAAACAGTAGAACATAGAATTGCACATACATTTGTAATTGCGCATACATTTGTAATTGTAATGTATATATTGGTTTAGATGAAATGCAAAAATACTATGTTAAAGTATTCTCGAGTACCTTATTCTGGGAATTATAATTGGAAACAAAGTTTTCTATGTGCTGACAGGACATTATACTAGTTAATTGTGTTTATGAGACTAGATCATGCATAGAGCTTTTAGTAAAATTGTAAACAGCTCAAATTTGTGAATTTCAGTTTTATCTGTGATAGCCAGTTCCTTTGCAACACTAAATATTATGTTTCACCTTACAATCTCTAAAGGAGTTTTGGGGAGTTTTGGTGGTATTATGCTTACTGTTTTTGTACCATGTTTTTAGTTTTGTTTTCTTATTTTGAAGTTCATTGATATTGTTGAAACAACTTACAACTATAGACCCATTCTTCATAGGTAAGACTGTAGTTATCGTGAGTACAGGCAATATCAGTATTTATATACTGCCAAGTCTGATCAAGAGAAGAGCTGGCAGGTAGAGTATGTTCTCAATGCTAAGACATTTTAGCTTCTTGACCTTCTTTACTGTTTGCCAACGGAACAAAGGCAAAAGCAGAATAAAGCATAAGGCACAGAGTGACAGCTGTCTTTGCAATACTACTCTGTAGCTTTGCTGCTATCCCTTAATAGCATTTGACTCAGGAACATACAAATTTATGTCACTGTTTGGTTAAAAATGTCTGTTCTCTTTATTACTAGAATATAAGAAAAAATAACTTAATGATTATTGAATGAGTAAAAATTTAAATAATTTTGCATTCATTGCTCAAAAACTATAGACATTCATTGCCAAGAGTGCTAGCCTTTATTCAGAAAAGGAAGATTTATCAGTCACTATTTGACTTGGAGAAATCACTTGAACTTCCACCTTTGGTTCCCTAATCCCTAAAAGGGAATGACAATATTTTGTAGCCTAAATCAGAGATATGCAAAATGTGGTGTTCGAAAGTACTTTGCAAATGAATGACAATTGTGATATATTACTCATTGGTGTATAAGTATAGATTTTTTTTCATATATGAACCAAACAGTGTTATTTTGTGTTCTTTCTCACTAAAATTGCTTCAGAAATATACTTAGATCTAGATCATTACTTTTCTGGTAGTAGAACATTACATTCTAATTTGACATTATTTATTTTTAGGGGCTTTAAGTCTTTCATTGTATGCGGGGAAACAATAAGAAACTTTTATAGACTCTGTAATAACATGGCAACACCACCTATTACACTATACTGTTAAACTACCACTACTGTTATTATTTCTGTTGTACTGATACTTATTAATAATAAGCTCTCATGACTCAATGCTTATTTAATCCCAGGCACCATGTTAAAAATTTTCACAGATGGACAGTGCCATTTGACAGCGTCTCATTTTACTGATGAGTAAACTGAGGCAGAGAGTAGTGAAGAGGTGTGCCCAAATCATATCAATAATAAGTAACAGAACTGAGATTTAAAACATAAATCTGCACTGTCTGATGTGGTAGGCTTAGCACATGTGGGCCTTTAAATTTAACTTTAAACTATTTAAAATTGAATATAATTACACAGCCAGTTCCTTCATCACTCTAGACACACTCATGCGCTCCATAGTGACTTGTAGAGCATTTGCGCTATACAACACTTCATCTCTCTGATCCAAGTCCATGTGATTACTTACTTTGTTAAACATTTGGGTTTCTTATGCTTTCTGTTTTATTGCCTGATATTTCATTCTAAAAACTTAAATATAAGATATTATATCCTAACTTGAAATTTGTCATACAAAGTCTAAATGTATGTTTAGCTCATAAATATACTACGTTCTTTGGTGTAAGTTTAGATATTTCATTAGTATTTTATTCTAATTAATGACAACATCATAGTTTTAATTTTTTTCTACCAAAAACAATACCACTTACATTTTTCGCCTCTGGTTTACATATTAGTTTTTCACAGAAGAGGACAAGTGACATCATACTTCATACCTTTTGCAATTGTCCACTTTTGTACTTATTATTTTGTTTAAATCTCTATAGAAGTTCCCTCAGCTATTTTGAATAAAACTTATTATTCTCATTTTACAAATTTTTAAAGAAGCAACAGCAGCAGAAGCTCAGAGAACTTGAAAAGAATGCCCATTGTCACATGGCAGATAACAGAACTGATCTTTTCTTGCTTTAATTTTGTTAATTGACCAGTGAAAATCATGCTGAAATAAATGCCAGAGTAGCAGCCTCAATAAGCTGGCTTTGGATGGAATTCAGTGTGGTTCAAGTGGTAGAGCACGTACCTAGCATGCAAAGCCCTGGGTTTAATCCCACACAAACAAAAAAAAAGATGAAATAAGGAAGTGAGGCATGCATGATGCCAAATAATGGAACTGTAAATATACAGAAAATTCATTAAATCCCCAGGTACTGGATTTCTAAATATAACAAGACTGTAAATTGTAAACCATACTTTTACTGGACTCAATTACAATCAATTATAATGAAGCACTGTTACTAATTTAATTAATGTCCTAAAATACATATTCATTTGTTCTCATAATCAAGGGAACACAGGTGGTCTTATGAAACCCCAATGCAATAAAATATTTTCATACATTTTTATCACACATATCAGGAGGGACCTGTAATTTGATTTTAGCAAGTCTCAACACGTAGAAAAGATTTTTAAATTCTAAGTAAAGGATTTACTGGCTCACATTTTTCAACCAGGTATATCTAAAACACTCCTGCCAAGTTTCAAAATCCAGCCTTCCAATACACCCTGTTGTATTTAGCAAATTTCAGATCAGCAATGGAGGCCCAGAAGAGAATTGGAAGAGTGGAAGTGCACAGTTTCTGATTTCATGCCATTGCTCTTTAAAAATTTTTGAAGACACAAATTTAACAATTATTAAATGATAAATGAGAAGCAAATTGAAGTGTGATTCCAGTTTGTAAAAATCTTTGGTGCATGAAACATTGAGCACAACACATCTAGATTTGCAAATTATTGCATTCAAAATTTAGTTACTCTGGCAACCAGCTTCCTTTAATCAGGCAGCTTTTTAGATCTTCTTTTGTATATCTGTGTCTTAATAAAAAACTCAAACTGATACCCAGAATTTTAAAGCTTAATGACTAGCAAAAATTCCTGAAATGTTATTTTTTTCTTTTTATTTACTAAAAAAAAAAAATCCACAGATTTTCACATAAACTTCCTATGTCAAGGGATGGGAGTATTTTTCTAATGCAGGATTTATTCTTATTCCCTATACTTGCTTACATTTCCATAAAATAATGACTGTTTCAGACAAAGTGTTCAAGATTTTTTGTTTTATGTAATATTTTCATTTGCATAAAATAAAATTCCTTTCATTGTTACTTTTCATAGTGCATTGAAACTATTTTAAAGTGACAGGATTAACAGAAATGCTTTTACCATTCCTATTAATTCCAATATGGGATTTTGGTATTTGCCCAAGTTTGGGTATCACCTTTTGAGTTTTCTTTTTTGATCAGCCTACCAACATGTATCTGGGTAAATTTCACTCATGTATAATTTAATTGTGAAAAATTCCAGGATAAAAAGATACAGGGAGTTCAGTTCTATTGATGTGTAAATGAAAGTCCAAAACACTTTTTAAATTCAAAATCGTCAAGCATGCTGGCATGTATCATGCTTTATTTGTTGTACTTAAAAGATTTTTGAAATCGAGGTGGCTTTGGTTCGTTCATTAAAATTTGACTCATGTTTCCTTAGGATAAATGCTTTTGTTTTTGTTGTGTGTTTTCGTGTTTACAGTGTTCTATTCTTGTCACTGTGTATGTTCTTCAGCATCCACAATCCTTACTTAGTAAGTAGATCATTTGACAAATGCAGCACACTCAGTCAGTGGATGGATATTTTCAAAGTATACATTGTGTCTCATTTTAATATTCTGAATCAGTGTATCATATAAATGCATTCTGAATAATTAAAGTAGGAGACCCTACTTTCATTACTTGTTTAATTATCTTGAGTTTGTTTCAAAGCCTACAGCAACTGCTGTTGCTCAGATGATTAGAAAATTGCTTCCAGTTGCAGAAATCTATTTCCTGTTGTTTCTTCTGGCAGTGATTGCAGACCGGCCTCCCCCTGTCATTCGACAAGGTCCTGTAAATCAGACTGTTGCAGTAGATGGTACTTTCGTCCTCAGCTGTGTGGCCACAGGCAGTCCAGTGCCCACGATTCTGTGGAGAAAGGATGGAACTCTTGTTTCAACCCAAGATTCTCGAATCAAACAGCTGGAGACTGGAGTGTTGCAGATTCGATATGCTAAGGTAATTTGAAATGACACCCTGGGTTTCCTGATTTGTTCAACAAGTATGAAAATCTCTTAGTCTTAATTGAATACTGAATATAAGTATTAACATATACTTATTTATTTGATGCATTATTTGCTCAGATTTTCCACTAGTATGTTTGAGATGATTTGACTCATAGTTTAGCCCAGGACAAACAATTTAGGTTCCATGGAGGAGGAGGGAAAAAATGCTTTCTAAAACCTATTGAGGAAAGTAGGTGGGGATTTGTGGAGGAAAAAATTACCTTCCTAGTTAGTGGTATGATGCAGACATTTCATAAAACATTTTCAAAGATATTTTCCACTGCTATTTTACGTTTCTTGTATGTGAATAATTCTTCTATTGTGAATATTTGATTCAGTACAGAGTACTGTATGTGCAAACAAAAGCTATAAAGCCATGTACACAGTGAGTGTACATTCCAAATCACAATGTTCAGTGATGAAAAGACCACAGGTTGGTGGAAACAATTTAGGGATTTACCTTCCCAGAGCATCACACCTCATACCTGTTCTTTCAGGACTCTTGTTTTGTTTTGCTTTTGCTGTTTAGGTCAAGATCAGACAAGCTCCTGAGGCATATGAAAGAAATGTCTTGACAGCGATAAACACAAATTTCAATTGCTTTATTGCCTATTGTGGGTGGCTTCTTTGGGGTTTTTGGATCAGCATCACAGTTCATTTTGTGTGTCACTAAAGTTAATATGTTGTACTTCTTTGTGACAACTATTTTGACTTTGCTGTTGCAATTGCCAGAGCAACATTACAAGAGTCTTGCTTTATCAAATGTTAGATAGAGCTATTAGATTAAGCAGAGATATGTGGTTTTATTGTGCTGCTAATGATTTTAAAGTTGAATGTATGGCTGGCCTATGTTCATTTTTTGGCATTCAGCCTTCAGAGGAAGAAACTGTTCATTCTAGCAACTGTTTAGCGCTATACTTGTCAGACTGCCTTACATTTTAGGATAAAGAAATGAGACAAAGTAGAGCATCCTTAAAAAGAACCCTTTTTTTCCCCTAACCCTATTCTGTAAATATCTGTTTATTTCATATATCCATATAAGTATAACTCCAATAACATATAAAGGAAGCCTTATGATGATGTGGCTTATTAAATATAAAAATATAATTTAGCAATAAAGATTACCCCCATTGAATTTGAAAAGTTATATACTTTAATAATTGTCTGTTGTCTCTAACACTGATCATATTTTAATGCAATTTATATTATACTTTCCATTATGTAACTAGAAAAACCATATAAAAACTTTTTTTCTGTCTTTGTGCAATATTTTCTTTCACATTCAATACAAACATTCAATTAAGGTTTCTGGCTAGCAGATTTTACTATAGTTATCCATATTCATGGACCATATACAAGCCTGTAATTGCTTTTCCAGCCCAGTAAGCTCTTGATTGCTCCAAATATTTATTTTCTGTCTGCCTTCGCAGCTGGGTGACACTGGTCGGTACACCTGCACTGCATCAACACCCAGTGGCGAAGCAACATGGAGTGCTTACATTGATGTCCAAGGTAAATTAATACTTTTTGCTTTAAAATAAAGCTGAAAATTACATTTTCAGCTTTCTTATTAAGAAGTTGATGAAGTAAATGTCCTTGTTCCTGATAAGGTATGAGGATATGTTACCTACATTTATATGCTTATCTCTATATGTGTAAATATCTTTCTTTCTTTTGTTTTTTTCTCCCCCCACTTAGAATTTGGTGTTCCAGTTCAACCACCAAGACCTACTGACCCCAATTTAATCCCTAGTGCCCCCTCCAAACCTGAAGTTACAGATGTCAGCAGAAATACAGTAACTTTATCATGGCAGCCAAATTTGAATTCAGGAGCAACTCCAACATCTTACATTATAGAAGCTTTCAGGTAGATTGAAGAGAATGTTCCTTTTTTTTAATTTTTTTATTACTATTATTTGCCATTAAGTATGCATGTTCTAACTTGTCTATCTATCCTTAGCCATGCATCTGGTAGCAGCTGGCAGACCGTAGCTGAGAATGTGAAAACAGAAACATTTGCCATTAAAGGACTCAAACCTAATGCAATTTACCTTTTCCTTGTGAGGGCAGCTAACGCATATGGAATTAGTGATCCAAGCCAAATATCAGATCCAGTGAAGACACAAGGTAAATATTGATTTGCTTAACCATGGGAGACTGACTTATCTTTAGGTGTTGAATTATATGAGTAAAACATTTTAGGATTGCACATTCACATCTGCTGTTTAATTTTTTAATTCATAAATACAGTATCTATACACCTTTATCATTGTCTGGACTGAGAATATGAAGATTGATAACACAGAGAGGTGCCTTTCCTAAAATCATGAGTCCACCGAGATGAAGATACAATGAATATTTACACATTCTATTCAGTTCTGTGATTTTTGAATAGTGTTGCATGTGGGGATAATACCTTAATCATATTATAATTGTATTTCAAATTGAGTAAATTTTATTCCTGAAACATAAATAACTTCAATACTCATAAATTTCTGGATAAATTTTCAGAATCACTGTCCTAATCAAGTAATACTCTCTCAAACTCACATAAATGTAAAAGATATTTGGAAATCTGTTCTTCATCGTTCTGTCCAATCAAACCCCTACAAATCATGGGAAAAAATACTGTGAGTTTTTATGTTGTTCGATTTGTCTTTCATTATAGGTTATGTGAACCACAATATATGAAACTTTTAAGTGGAGAACATATTTTGATCAAAGCTGGGTTGAAGAAGCATACAAAAAGGACATGTTAAAAGCCACTTCTAAGATATTTAAATCAGGAAATGTATTCACTTGGACTCTCATTTGGACATATTGCTTTTTATCTTTCTTAAACTGAAATTATTTTTATCTTACAACAGATTATCATCTGTCTTATCTACCTTCTTGCTCAGTCTGTTATTTTATTGCTCTCATAGCAGTAAAATTCATACTGGACTGAAAAAAAATTGATGAATTTGAATCAACCTTTACCTTTTTGTTAACCCAATGTCATTACAATTAAAACATGCTTGTTATATTATCAAAGAAAGTGAGTCCTGGAGGGTAGTGGTTAGAAATATAAAATGCTTTTCCTAACACACAAAGGAATCCTGTCTCTATCTTGTTAACATTTCCAAAGAAAAATTACAAATTAGTTTTAATGAGAGAAGCAAGTTATGCACAAGGTAACTGAGAGACTTAAATTGCATTTTTCCTGATTTGGGAGGTGGTTTGCCAGTCATGTTTCATGTTTGGTCTTTTCTAGTGCATACATAAACAATCTTTTTTGGAAGGACTTTTTTCTGTCAAAAGCAAGCCGAGTTGTAGAACATGCCCACATCTGTCTCTTGCTGTGTGAATTCAACACACCCAAATGCTGATATTTGCAATTATGAGTCACCTCATCAGGAACATTAAAACACTTGGAGCCTCCCTAGAGGCAGTTTGAGGTTTGCAACATTAGATCTGCATTCATAAAGAATACAGAACGATGACAGCTGTAAAATGAATTTAAGCTTTTGTCCCCATTACAGGGGTCTCTGTCCAGTGGGTTCTGAGAGTTAATGCTAGTCTGTCATATACACATATGAATGGTTTTGTAATGCACACCTCATTTGTAAATGAGGAAGTAGCTAACATTGTATTTGAGTATGAGTTTTTAAAAAATTTTTAATCAACTTCTCTTTGTTCACAAATACCTAGTGGAACCACCTAAGTGAAATGAATCTATTTCTTCAATTGGAAAAATGAACATATAGGAAAAGAAGCGTTTGAAATAGGGAAACAGCCATTTTTTAATTGTGCTGAGTGGGAGTACATTATGGCATTTATGAAAGTTCTTACAATATATCAACTATATCATACTTGAATACACCCCATCCACCATTCTCCTTTATCTCCCCTCCCCCAAGGAAACAGACATTTTGTAATAAAAAATTTCATCTCTGCTCTTCCCTCTACTAGCTCTGTGGTTTTGAGCAAGTTAACTATGAGCTTCAGTCTCCTTGCTTATAAAATGGGGCTAAGTAGACCCACCCTTCAGGATTGGATGAAGATTAAATTAACTAATCAATAATAATTATATGACCTCATCAAATAAGATTTTGTTTTCTATTTTATGTTATAGCAGTTGTGTTTCTTTTAGTCTAGTGTCCAGACTAAAAATAAAAAAGGTTCATAAAATTTGCAACTATCATAAAACCAAGAAAGACTACTAGTGAGCCAAATGAGAGAATCAATAAAATTTATCTTGACAGAGTGGAATGATGAGCCAGCACTAACAAGATTAAAATTAATAGAGCAAATTTAAAAAAGCCTGGTGCGTTAATTTTAAAAGGGTAGACTGGGAACCAGGTTTAAGGGCAGTGTATGTGTATGAATATCAGGGCTCAGGGAAGTGGATAGACTTAGTGTTTGAAGTCAATTAAAACATCTATCTTAACTAACTCAGTAATGTAGTTGCCAAAAGTACAAATGTTGCCTTTGCTAGCATCAGCAGAATTATGTCTGGATCAAGTAATCTTTCTGCTTTTACTCTGAACTAGTCAGATCATGAGTGAACTAATGTGTTGTTGTGAGCATTATATTTTCAGATGGACTTTTAAAACATGTTTTGGAAGGGTGCTGTGGATTGAACCCAGGGTTTTGCAGCTCCTAGGGAAGTGCTCTACAACTGAGCTATGCCCCCAGTCCCACTGTTTAAGACTTATAAGAGGAGAGCAATGAGGATAGTAGTTAGGAGTAAATGAAAGACTGAAAATCCTATCACAGAAAAAGATTTAAGGATGTTGGTGTGAGTAGCCCAAAAAAAGAAAAAAAAAATAGAGGGAGCATGGAATTTGCTTTCTTTTTTAAAAAAAAACCAGGCAATATGTAAAAGCACCAATGAGTAGAAGTAACGGAGACATATTTCATTTTTAATTCTTGGATGGCTTCTGAAACACTGTAAGGCCAACCTGAGGATCACAGCAATCCTATGAACCTATGAAAGATCCTGAAGAAAATTCTGTTGTAGGGTACAGAATGCACAAGCCATGAGGGAGAAATTAAAGGAGGAAAGAATGCAGGAAAGAGTTGTTAGACATTAGTTCACAAAGGAGCAAGCATAATTTCTATAGCCACTTGGGAAATGCAGTTGCAGAAGAGTCTTCCCCAGGTGGAGATACCTATGCATGATCTGAGGTCAAAAGTAAAATGTGCATAGCGTTGGGGCACAGGTCCACTCTGCAGGAGTCAGTAGACCTTATGTCACAAATGGAGTTAGCACCTTGTCACAGGCAAGATTTGGTAGTGTAAGGAAGACAACTACATAGCTGAAGAGCTAGGGGTGGTGGTGGTTATTGTTGTATGTGGTGGTTACCACTGTTAATACTATTCTGGATCTACACACATTTGTCTTTTTCTTGAGCCCTAATTTTAAAGGAAATGAACAAATACAGAATGTAATAGAATATATAGAGGATGCATAAGAAATTTTAGGGTTTTTTTATTGTTTTATATTCATATGTGCATACAAGACATGGGTCATTTCTCCTCCCTGCCCCCACCCCCTCCCTTACCACCCACTCCACCCCCTCTTTCTCCTCCCCACCCCCTCTATACCAGGCAGAAACTATTTTGCCCTTATCTCTAATTTTGTTGTAGAGAGAGTATAAGCAATAATAGGAGGAACAAGTGTTTTTGCTGGTTGAGATAAGGATAGCTATACAGGGAGTTGACTCACATTAATTTCCTGTGCATGTGTGTTACCTTCTAGGTTAATTCTTCTTGATCTAACCTTTTCTCTAGTTCCTGGTCCCCTTTTCCTATTGGCCTCAGTTGCTTTTAAGGTATCTGCTTTAGTTTCTCTGCGTTAAGGGCAACAAATGCTAGCTAGTTTTTTAGGTGTCTTACCTATCCTCACCCCTCCCTTGTGTGCTCTCGCTTTTATCATGTGCTCATAGTCCAATCCCCTTGTTGTGTTTGCCCTTGATCTAATGTCCACATATGAGGGAGAACATACGATTTTTGGTCTTTTGGGCCAGGCTAACCTCACTCAGAATGATGTTCTCCAATTCTATCCATTTACCAGGCAAATGATAACATTTCGTTCTTCTTCATGGCTGCATAAATTCCATTGTGTATAGATACCACATCTTCTTAATCCATTCGTCAGTAGTGGGGCATCTTGACTGTTTCCATAACTTGGCTATTATGAATAGTGCCACAATAAACATGGGTGTGCAGGTGCCTCTGGAGTAACCTGTGTCACAGTCTTTTGGGTATATCCTCAAGAGTGGTATTGCTGGATCAAATGGTAGATCAATATTTAGCTTTTTAAGTAGCCTCCAAGTTTTTTCCAGAGTGGTTGTATTAGTTTACATTCCCACCAACAGTGTAAGAGGGTTCCTTTTTCCCTGCATCCTTGCCAACACCTGTTATTCGTGGTGTTGCTACTGATGGCTATTCTAACAGGGGTGAGGTGGAATCTTAGTGTGGTTTTAACTTGCATTTCCTTTATTGCTAGAGATGGTGAGCATTTTTTCATGTGTTTTTTTGGCCATTTGAATTTCTTCTTTTGAGAAAGTTCTGTTTAGTTCACTTGCCCATTTCTTTATTGGTTCATTAGTTTTGGGAGAATTTAGTTTTTTAAGTTCCCTATATATTCTGCTTATCAGTCCTTTGTCTGATGTGTAGCTGGCAAATATTTTCTCCCACTCTGTAGGTGTTCTCTTCAGTTTAGAGACCATTTCTTTTGATGAACAGAAGCTTTTTAGTTTTATGAAGTCCCATTTATGTATGCTATCTCTTAGTTGCTGTGCTGCTGGGGTTTCACTGAGAAAGTTCTTACCTATACCTACTAACTTCAGAGTATTTCCTACTCTTTCCTGTATCAACTTTAGAGTTTGGGGTCTGATATTAAGATCCTTGATCCATTTTGAGTTAATATTGGTATAGGGTGATATACATGGATCTAGTTTCAGTTTTTTGCAGACTGCTAACCAGTTTTCCCAGCAGTTTTTGTTGAAGAGGCTATCTTTTCTCTGTCATATATTTTTAACACCTTTGTCAAAGACAAGTTGGTTATAGTTGTGTGGCTTCATATCTGGGTCCTCTATTCTTTTCCACTGGTCTTCATGTCTGTTTTTGTGCCAGTACCATGCTGTTTTTATTGTTATTGCTTTATAATATAGTTTGAAGTCAGATATCGTGATACCTCCAGCATTGTTCTTTTGACTGAGTATTGCCTTGGCTATTCGTGGCCTCTTGTGTTTCCATATAAATTTCAAGGCAGATTTTTCAATCTCTTTAATGAATGTCATTGGAATTTTGATGGGAATTGCATTAAACATAAAGAGTACTTTTGGGAGTATCAACATTTTTACTATGCTGATTCTACCAATCCATGAGCATGGGAGATCTCTCCACTTTCTATAGTCTTCCTCAGTGTCTTTCTTCAGAAGTGTATAGTTTTCCTTGTAGAGGTCTTTCACATCTTTTGTTAGGTTTACACCTAGGTATTTGATTTTTTTTGAGGCTATTGTAAATGGAATTGTTTTCATACATTCTTTTTCAGTTTGCTCATTGTTAGTGTATAGAAATGCTAATGATTTTTCTATGTTGATTTTATATCCTGCTACCTTGCTATAGCTATTGATGATGTCTAGAAGCTTCTGAGTAGAGTTTTTTGGGTCTTTAAGGTATAGGATCATGTCATCTGCAAATAGGGATATTTTGACAGTTTCTTTACCTATTTGTATTCCTTTTATTCCTTCTTCTTGCCTAATTGCTCTGGCTAGGAATTCCAGTACTATGTTGAATAGGAGTGGAGATAGTGGGCATCCTTGTCAAGTTCCTGATTTTAGAGGGAATGGTTTCAGTTTTTCTCTGTTAAGTATAATGCTGGCTGTAGGTTTGTCATATATGACTTTTATAATGTTGAGGTACTTTCCTTCTATTCCTAGTTTTCTTAGAGCTTTTATCATGAAATGGTGTTGGATCTTATCAAAGCTTTTTCTGCAGCTATTAGATGATCAAGTGGTTTTTGTCTTTGCTTCTGTTAATGTGGTTTATTACGTTTATTGATTTTCATATGTTGAACCACCCCTGCATCCCTGGGATGAAGCCTACTTGGTTGTGGTGAATAATCTTTTTGATGTGTTGCTGAATTCGGTTTGCCATTATTTTGTTGAGATTTTTTAGACCAATGTTCATTAAGGAGTTGGCCTATAGTTCTCCTTTTTGGAGGTGTCTTTGCCTGGTTTTGGGATAAGTGTAATACTGGCTTCATAAAATGTGTTTGGCAGTTTTCCTTCCCTTTCTATTTTGTGGAACAGTTCAAGAAGGGTTGGTATCAGTTCTTCTTTAAAGTTCTGATAGAATTCAGCAGAGAATCCATCAGGTCCTGGAGTTTTCTTTTTGGGAAGACTCTTGATTGCTGCTTCAGAAATTTTAGTTATTGTACATAGTGACTGAGTTCTGAACAACTTTCCTTTGGCAGTTGTTTATAGGGATATCCAATACTGGACAAGCAGTATCTAAGGTTTTCTATAAGTCTAATACAGAATGTTAGGAAAGACTGTTTACCTTATATTTCTTTCAAGAGGAGAAGAGCAAGAACAATAAAAGGATCAATTCATAAGCTTCTCTTGTTAGACATCACTTTTCATTTGTTTCTGAAGTTAGCAATCCTAAAATATATAGGAATATATTATATTATTTCTGTAATAATAATGATACCATTACAAATTGGTCACTTTGGGTGGAGGAATCTGTCAATTTTCCTGAAGGGATTGCCAGGCAGGTTTATCTTAATCCAGAGAAATTAAGAGATTGAGATGCAAATCGTGATATTTATTTTGCAAAATAGTTATTTCTATATTTGAAGTTACTTCTTAAAAAAGCAGATGATTCCTTGAGAATGGCAGCTTATATAGGAGGGAAATGTTTGGAAGCTGACATTCAGTGTGCATTTTCCAAACACAAATACACTTTAATTACGCCTATGTTCATTTAGCATGTATTTGCTAAATACATATGTAATATATATAATGATGTTCTATACATATACACATACATATGTATGTATAGTGATTGTCCTGCATACTCACTATGAGTCTATTAAGATTGGCCTGACCTTTGTTCTTAAAAAAAAACCAAAAAACAATTTTTTGTGCCTTACTAAAATGCAGTTCTCATAGCAGTCCTCAGAGTGGCTTTCTTTGCTATCATCATGTGATATATAGAGAAAAGGAAGTGAAGAAATCTGAGATTGCACCTTACTCCATCAGAATGGCTATCATCAAGAAAACAACAACAAATGCCAATATGGATCCTTATGAACTGTTGACAGAAATGTAAATTAGAGTAACCACTACGGAAATCAGTATGAAGGCCCCTCAAGAAACTAAAATTAGAATTACCATATTATCTGCCATAACACTCATGGGCATGTTTTCAAAGGAATATAAACCATCATACAAGAGAGATACTTGTACACTAATGTTTGTAGCAGCACTATTTGCAATAGCCAAGATATGGAATCTGCCCAGGTGCCCAACTGGCTACTGGATACATCACCAGTGGTGTATCCAGTATGGCACATACATACAATGGACAATTATTCAGACATAAAGAAGAATGAAACTGTGTCATTTGCAGGGAAATATCATCATGTTAAAAGAGAAAAATGGAGGGTGGTTTAGAAAGAGCATAGATGAGGTGAATTTGATCAAAGTACATTATATGAAGTTGTAAATATCACAATGAAACCCTTTTGTACAATTTATTTATGCTAATAATATTTTTAAGAGAAAGATATCTTCTCCAGGGCCAGGATATGGCTGGAGTGTGGATCAGTGGCAGAGCACTTGCCTAACATGCATGAAGACTTGGGTTAGGGAAAAAGGGCAGGGTAGGGTGGGTGGGAAGAAATTGTCCCAGGATCATACAGTTTTTAAATTGCTGAGGTGAGGTGCATATTCAACTTGTTTTATTCTGAGTACTTTACTCTTGCCCTAGAGACAGATGGTAGCTAAAATCATAAGAGCAATGGGGACCAGTAAGAAAGGAAATGTGCCCAAGATAGGAAGGTGACAATCAAGTGTTTTCTTTCTGTAACCTGGCATCATGAGTGCCCTAAGGGCCAGCACTAGCCAAAAATCTTAGTTATGTATGAATTAGTGCAAGAATTATCAGTTATTTTTCTCATTTTTCTTATTTATAAGCTTAATTTATAGGCTAGGTATGCATACAGCAAAATAGTGTTTAAGAATACTCTAGACCCATTATCTCCTACATTTGCCTGTGTTCTTTGAACTCATCACAGGTACTTACAAATCTTCCTTAGCATAATACTATTGTATTATTAAAGTAAGCCATCATTAATTAAATCAATTAGATTGAAGTACTCTCATGAATCTAATCAGGCCTATTTCATCATGTCTTAATGGTGGCTTCTGTATCCCTATTGTAGCCATTTATTGTCATCTACCTTTATGGGGAAGATAAGCATTTTCATCTTACAACATGAAGGTGTTCTTCTTTCTATGCTTCATTTCACTCACCACATTTCCATTCTTTCTGTTCCCCAGCCACTCTGCACAAGCTTATAACAAATTTAGGATTGTAGTAGCATAGAGGAGCCCTCCTTAAACATTACTATTTGCCGTGCCTTTTGCTTGTTCCCCCTCCCTCCCTCTCTCTCTCTCTCTCTCTCTCTCTCTCTCTCTCTCTCTCTCTCTCTCTCTCTCTCTCTCCATCTGAGACTTATAAAAAGGTTAAGTTTTGTTCGTGTTCTGTGTCTCAGGATGGCTTCACACTCCTAATGATTCTTCTTCTCTGAGCATTGCAGAGTGGAGGCTCGTCCATGCCTCCATTCATTCAGTGCATCCAGTCTGACTCACTCTTCTGATGGTTGCAGATGTTCCACCAACAAGCCAGGGGGTGGACCACAAGCAGGTGCAGAGAGAGCTGGGGGACGTTGTCCTGCACCTGCACAACCCTACCATCCTTTCTTCCTCTGCAGTTGAAGTACACTGGACAGTGAGTTATTTTGCAAAATTTGAACTTAGTTTTATTAAGCAGGTGACTTCTGTGACATCATTTTATATGTGAAATTTAACTATCTGTTGTTCACTTTATGCCAATAATAATGCTGTCATGTAAGCATTGTTTATGATGGCAGCTGTAATCTGTCTTTAAACAGAATAGTTTCTTCTTTGTGTATGTTTTTGTTATGGTGTTGACACAGTGAACGTTACCAGACTTAGGGTAAAGACACAAAGTATTAACTATAAATATATAACTTGTGATAGGCTCATCATCACACTTAAAAAAAAAACTTAGAAATATTTCCAAGTGTTATGAAGCAGATTTTTAGAATCAGAAAATAGTAAAAACCATCTGCCTGACCTCAACACGATGTGTCTCGTAGTGACATGATACCTCATATAAAGCACAGAAGTTAATTCATGAAAACAAATATCACCTTATAGAACAAGTGGTTTTATTTTGTTTTATTTCACATTTTTAGAACTAGAAATCCTGAATGGAGCCAGGTAGAACTTTTTTTACATTTTCAATGAAAGCAATAAAAAGATATGAATTTATTATTTTTCAATGAATCAATAAAAAGATATGAATGACTACATTTTTATTCTTCATTTTAATAGGTGGACCAGCAGTCTCAGTATATTCAAGGATATAAAATTCTCTACCGGCCATCTGGAGCCAACCATGGCGAATCAGACTGGCTAGTTTTTGAAGTGAGGACACCAACCAAAAACAGTGTGGTTATCCCTGACCTCAGAAAGGGAGTCAACTATGAAATTAAGGCTCGCCCCTTTTTTAATGAATTTCAAGGAGCAGACAGTGAAGTTAAGTTTGCCAAAACCTTAGAAGAAGGTAAGTATGGAGAACTGTGTGATTTCTGTGCATTGCAGTGTATTTATTTGGCTTTTATTACCTTAATTAAAGTTGCTAAAAAGTTAATAGTGGCATTAATTATTAGCTGTCTTGATATTGAGCGTTATATTTTGCTATGAGAATTCGTTTCATTATAATAACTATAAAAAACAAAATTCTATAATAGTTGATTTGCTTCAATAGTGGCCAGCACAAAAATAAGTGAGCACTGTATTACTTAATGACATATATAGAACATGTTTAATTAGACAGAACTAAAATTCACATTTAAAGATGAAATTGTTCTCAACTTGCTTGCTAGCCTACACATCCAGTGAATATTAAAGATTTGCAAACAAGGTGAGTAATATCTGTTTGCCTGAGCTTTTCGGCGTTACTATGTTCTCCTTATGCCTCGTGTCTCTGGAAACCTCTCAGTTCTAGGAAAAACAGTACAGCTGGCCACCCTATAACCGGAAATTTAAAAGCAATATTTATATAAGTATGAAGAGTTACATATGACAAGTATACTCTTTTTAGAAATCTAGAATTTTCCTTAATGCATCTTTGTCACATACTATGTAAGTGATTGGCTATGGTTAAATATACACATATTTAATACATACATATAGCAATATCATATCTGCATAGTTATTTTTGGACTTTTAATATTAACTACCTGCATTTAGTGTTCTCTAACACCCTCTAATCATCTACTTTTTAAAACAATTATAGCGCCAAGTGCCCCACCCCGAAGTGTAACTGTATCAAAGAATGATGGAAATGGAACTGCAATTCTTGTCAGTTGGCAGCCACCTCCAGAAGATACTCAGAATGGAATGGTGCAAGAATATAAGGTAATATACATATGTCAATTTACTGACAAACACCCCCCCCCACACACACACACCCCACTCACAAAATCTTATTTATAGATATTTGGCGCCATCTGCTGGTAACACTACCAACTTGTCAAATTAATTAAAAAATACTTTTTATGTAGTCATTAGAGTAATTTTCTTTGTTAGAAAAGCTATTTGGAAAAAAATTATAATTTAAAGGAGAATTTAAGTGGCCAAAGAATATATAAGTTCATCGAATTTCACACAAATTACAAATTTCATTGTTAATACTCTTCACCCCAAAATAGCTTGAATACATTGTTCAGAATTGGATCACTCTGTGAAATTGGCTACAGTTATAGTCACATTCTACCAAAAAATGGTTTACTATCTTTTTTTTATAACTTTGGAACTTTAGAATCTTAGATATAATTATGAATGCTACTTTGGTATATATGAAATCATTCCTACCTATAAACCTTGGTTTAGTACCTAGACAAAAGTTCATGTCTCAAAAAATTTTGATTATAAACTTTCATGTTTGTATATAATCTAAAGATTTATAATTTATTGTCAAGTGATATTCTAAGTAATGCTCTTTTACCTGTGAATAGCCAGCTCTGTTTAATGAATATAGACAGTTTCAACTTGGATTCATGTTAAGCAAATACTGTCAAGTTCACCAAGATACATCAAAAACTAAGTTAAAAACATAAGATTTAGTCAAAACAGTATGTTTTAACTCACCTATTAATCAATCTATATTACAGGATAAACTAATGATCTATGATAAATAGATAACTGAAAGATTGAATCAAGAATCCCTCAACAGAAAATAGATTTTATGCGCATTTTTTCAACACATATAAATATATTACATACTAAAAGGATTTCAACTGCAAAACATGCTTCTCTGTACACAGGAGTTTGTATTTCCATGATATGTGAGTTACCAGCTAAATTATAGATTCAGATTGCTATATTCTATATGTCACTATTTCAAACTATGGTTAGGGTATGAAATTGAACTTAGGCACTGAGGTTGGACGGTGGACATACCTTGGTATGTGTGTCCGTGGAAATGAATCTGTGGTTAGGGAGGTGTGGACACATTTTCTCTCTCCATTGTTGGTCAGTAATTTTCAACTACAAGCTAATTCCAGCATGACTTGTAGAATTGCATTTCAAATGCAAAAGAATGCCTAATCACCAGCCCAGAATCCTGATTCAGCTGGTCTGAAAGGATCCTTGCATGGGTCTTTAGGTAAATCTTTCTAGATCATTCTGATGAATATCCTTAGTTAAGGCACAAATAAAGACCATAATTTTTTTGAGTAGCACATTAATTTGTAAATAAGTATACTACGCTTAATTTTAAGTATAATATTTTATTTAGTGTGATTTTAAAAAACAAATTGAAAATCAGTTCATGAAATTTTTGTTTATTCATGGGTCTGGATTTTTTTTTAAGTATTTAAAATATTGCCACAAATGGATAAATGTGGATGCTTTTAAGGTATTTCAAATAAGATTTTTAAGTGTCACTGAGTCATTCATATATCACTGAGTCATTAGAAAGTAAAAACACACATAATATTATGAATTTCAGGGTTATTTCAATGCTGAGGCATGTCAGGATGCTGTTTCAGTCTGGAAAAATAGACGGTTGTAGAAGATTTTTAAGGATTTAAAATAAGGTGATACCTCTGCTAGCAAGCAAAATTGTGTAATGTAGGCATTTTCCCCTAAGAGTCAAAACTCATTTCTTTACTCAAGAAATGTGAAAGGGTGGATTTCACTTAACTTCATGGTCAATTTAAAATAATAAAATGCCTTTCAGAACCTGACTGACTGGTACAAAATCAGTTTGTGGCTTTGATTCAGCTGTGTAATGTAATTGGGAAAGAAAATTCACAAAGGACTCTTTAGTTTCAAATGGTCAGATCTTGATATAGTGTCTAACCATTTGCTGGTGTTATACATTGAAACTATATTAAATAATATTAACTTCCTAGGAAAAAAATTAAAAGTTATTGATCAAGTGATAGAAGACACTGGTATTTTTAGATTTCTTTTAAGTTCTGTTTCCTATTACACTTTACAAAATAGCCTACTTGAAGCTAATCCTGCATGTTGCTCAAGAGTGTCATAAAGAATACAGAGAATGCTTTCCTCTTCTGTACATCATTTTCTATTTGTACATTTTCTATATTTAGAAACTGAGTCCAAATATTGTCATGCCTCATACCCAAGTTCTTGAACACTGCAAAACATGTCTCTATGGTTACTCTTTTAATGAAATTTTATGTAAGGATTATAGTATAGTTCAAATATTTTAATTTTCTAAAAGTAGTTTGCTATCACAAATATTATCAAACTTAATGTGGTATCCAATTTTTTATTGTAATAGTGCTCTTTCACTGCAAGTATGCATTGTTATTCTTTATGAACTCATATATGTTATGAAAGACCAATATTCCAATTTAAGTATAAGATCAGATTTCCAATTTTACTCACTGATAATAGTTCAGCATACCATAAGCTGAATAAAATTGTAGGATGGTTCTTACTCTTTCAGTGCAGCTTTATTTTCAATAACCAGATTTATGCAAAGCACTTTACATCATTCAGAAGTTCTCCCTCCTTTTAAATCAACTGCTTCTTGCATTTGATGTAACTATGAAATGCAGGTATAAGTGCTAGGTAGTTCTTGTTCAGAGACCTGTGGCAGTATCAGACACAGAACTCTCTACACCTTGGTTTTGTGATATCCGGTCATCTATATCACACCTACAATGAAAATCTCTAGTGATGGGAGACACCTATTATTCTTTATCTGGATATGTACAACTTTCCGCAATGTCATTTTAAAATTTTTTTTTTGTCAAATAATTTCATAATGTTAAAAAAAAGAACAAAAACTAATGATATGGGTGGATAAGGACCTAATGGTGTGGACTGAGAGGGCTAAATATATACAGGAGCAAGTATATACCTCAACAAAAGTTTTCAGACTTATCTGATATAATCTTTTAAAAGCGTCTGAAAAAACATAAAGAAATCTTGAAGCTACTACTAATACTAGGCTTGGCTGGAAGTATCTTGTAGGACTAGAACTTGAAGAAGAATTACTTTTTAAAACTTCCTGTGGTGGATTCATGATAGGCTTGAATTCTATGTGAGTCTAAAGCCCATCTCAGTTTTATGTTGATCTTTGAATCAACTTAGATCATTTACCAGCTTGACTTTCATTGTGTACTTCTTACAGGTTTGGTGTCTGGGCAACGAAACTAGATATCATATAAACAAGACAGTAGATGGTTCTACCTTTTCTGTGGTCATTCCCTCTCTTGTTCCTGGGATCCGATACAGCGTGGAAGTGGCAGCCAGCACTGGGGCTGGTCCTGGGGTGAAGAGCGAACCTCAATTTATCCAGTTGGGTGAGTGTCAGTGCAGATCAGGTTTGACAGTCTGCCACTTGTTCTGCTTTGCTTTGTTTGCGTGTGGCCAAGCCACTGCAAAGCTGAATAGAATATGGAGTGTGGTTACAGCTTCAATGGTATTGGCTTTATTTAAAACATAGATAAGCAGATATAGACAAATACACGGTCATTTTGTCATTGTGTGAACATTGCAGAGTTTATATACACAAACTAAGACATCTGTGGCATTAGTAAGTAGGCAATAGAATCTTACGGGATGGTGGTCATGCATGAGACTCATCATTGACCAAAATTTTAGAGCACCTGACTGCAGCTACCTCACAACTAAACTTAAACTTATCCAAGAACACATTAGAAATAACATTTCAAGCAAAAGGCTTTTAATATTCAATTTCATCCTTACTCTGTCCTGTAGAGTTTTTTCATCTATTCACAAATACTATTACTTGATCATTAAGGATAACTCAGTAAACAGGAAAGACACAAACTGTACCCTCATTGAACTCAAAATTGTATGAACTAAAACAAATGAAAACTAAACAAAACAAAACTTCCATGGAATACTTAAACCAGGTATTGGAAATTTATAACAATGTGCAACTTATGCTTACATTCAGTGTTTGTTTAAATTTTTTGTTGCTTTTCATAACAAAGATAAATTGAGATGTCAAACAGCATTGAAATATGTTTAGATGCTAATTGCTTTATAGGTCAAATACAATTTCTGCTTCAAAAGTGTGTTAGGTGAATTAAAAGAATTGGTATAGAAGCCTTCATGACTACAATTCACTCACTATAGGCAATATATTATCAAAATAATACAAATTAGTAGGTGCTTACTAATTAAATCTAAAACAAATAGCAAAATAATTGTACTTAAAAACTGAGGACAAAAAAGTCAGATTTTCAGAAGTGACATTTAAACTATAAAAAATGTTGAGAAGTATACTGTCAGCTCTGTACATTATAAATCAGAAATTAAGCATTAGTAATATTTTGTGTTGGATGTTAAAAAAACAAAGAGGATCAGATAATACAAATCTTTATACTTTACAAATAATTATATACTATTTGCATGCTAATAATATTGACACCCTAGAATTTTTCAAAATAAAATTAAAGAACATTTGGCTTTGACTAATTTTGTTGCCATATATAAAGAACAATATTGAAAATATTGTTAATGTTCCATTGTTAAGGCAATGTTAGCGGCTATAACTCATACACGTGTAAAATTTCTGTGTTATAACACAATGGAGTGTCCTGAAAGTATAGTTGTTGGGTAGCATCCAGTTCCATGTGGACAGCAAGGGTCACAGGCTGATGAGGCTTGGTCTCTTTAACCTGGGGCTTCCAAGCTGTCCCTGGACCAGGAGAGAGGAGGAAACACAGACTCTGGGATTTAAATGATGCAAGTCTGGAAATGTGGACATTACTGTTGCCCAGTGTTATTGCAAGTAGAGGAATAAGGCCACAAACAAAGTCACTGCCTAAGAAGCTGCCTTCCAACAAGTCTTTCTTTTGAGATCCCCACTGAAGACTTAGTGGAGCACTTGTTGACTCTGTGCAATGATGGGACAGAATGTGATTTTTTGGACTTATCTTTTCAACTTGACGTATTTTAAAACCATGATTATATACACAACTTTAAACAAAAATAGCTTTGTGATTTATTTTAAGCAATAAAGGAAACAAAAAATTTCTTTATGCATCTTACAATGTTATATAAGATAGGCAGGAAAATAAATTGAGGAAATAGCTGATATTCAAGCATTTGTCCACTTTTGTGAAATGCTGATATTAATTTATTAAAATTGAAATTGTAAGTTACATTGTGATTGTGATGACTACTCATTGATTTTTTTACCTATTTTATAAAACATGACTTTTTTGAAGATGAATTGAAACAAAGGACCATGAGTAATTTTATTTATTTAAGATTTAAATCATGATATTTAAGGGCCAGATTGGTTTTCTTGAAATTATAAATGTGTTCCAGTTTTCCATATCTTAATATAGCCTCAGCTGCAGCAAGACAAAGCCTGAGATGTAGAGTGGCCATTTTAATTCATTAGTCACACTGCACTTTATTCTGTTAAGCCCATCTGGTTGCTTGCATGGAACCTCTCTTAGCTGTTTCCATAAAATCTGAAGCTACCCAACTTAACCTTGTGCAAATAGCCATGAAATCTATAAACCTAGCAGATACAAAGGGTGTATTAGGAATAAAGAGAATAGGTCTGCTTGGTGAACTTTCAGAGGATGAAGTGCTCTTAGGATAACCAGAGATAAAAGGGTCTGGAACATGAAATAAAACTTCCAGTCAACAAACAGTTGAAGGCAAGTGACTGCTTGTGAAAATAGATTTTTCAGCCTTGACCCTCCTTCGAATGAAATCTCAAATTCTGTCCAAGAAAAAAGCAAATATCCCCTCCACATCCATGCACACGACACAAGAAAGAATTTATCCATTTCACATTGAGAAGAGTTCTGTTTTCCTAAGGTTATTTCCAAAGCCACTGAATGCTGATCGGTTTCCCTGCCAATTTTCTTAGCAAGGTGCAATATCGTTTAATAAAGAAAAATCATCTGTAGCATTTTTTTTTTAGTTTAAGAAATGGTATTTATATAGAATGAATCCTACCAGTTAGATTTTTCCGATAAAAGGTATTTTGGGAACTAGAAATGGTTTCTGTTTTGGTCTTGAGGTCTTTCTTTCTGAAGACAGGCCATGAACTCTAACCCTGCCCTGGTGAAATAACACACGAAATAACAGAAGCAGTTTATTACTCACATGTCCTCAAGAAAAGAAGGTGCTGACAGGGACCAATGAGGACGCCACAGGGGCTTATGTGTTCAATCTGCAGGTGGGATTTTAGGTTTTTATTGGTGCTCAGGGTATTAGTGAGATTTCCAGGAGTAGTTCCAGTTGTTCTTAGAGAAGTTCTATGCCAATTCCACTGCACATCTGTACAATCTGTGTGGGGCAGGTGGGTTGAATGAAGTAGGCTGCCCCAGAGGGAGGTGGTCACAAGGAGGCACTTGTGTAAGATAAATAACCTGTTCTGATCATGTGGAGGAATGGAAGGAAGCAAAAAGCTGGAAACTATGCCAAGGAACTTAACCCTTTTTATGGTATGAGAAAGTTAAATTTAGCTTCAAAATGGATGCAGAACTAACATAAAATTATACGAATGCACTATAAAACATTTTCCAAGTCAAGTGAATTAAATTTTTTAAGAAAGCACCAATTCTAATGAAATGAGCAAGTACCTTTGGTTTCACCAAATATTGAGGGCGAAAGAACATTGAAACTGCAGATGTTAATGAGAATTCTGCCCACTGGGCAAACTTGGGGTTGGCATCAGTCCACACCAACAAAATGGGAAATTGCTTTGAGGATAGAGCAACATCCTCCAGTTTTCTACAAAGACTTTTCAGACTGCGCTGTGTGACCTGATGGAATGGTGAGCTTGAAAATTATATTAGTAGGCTTAAGACATACATGTTAAATAAGTAAATTTTATTACTCCTGTATTCCATCAATTTTTAATTCTTGATTTGCAGTGTCTAGCAGAAAATATAAGTCTTTTTGACTATTCATAGCACTTGATAATTCTTTTACATATTTAATGCTCTTTTCTTATAACTATTGCTGGCCATGGTTATTATTTTAAAAGAAATCATTCATAGTTCCTTCAATGGTAATATCATCTTAATTTTTCATTATTTTAATGACTCTCAATTTTATATGACTTCCTGAACTCAAGTGACATGTTTCTAAGATAGTTAAAGATCTTGCAATATAGCCTTGGGGAGAGGACCCACACCATATACACATAGACACTTTTTTTAGTATCTACCTTATAGAGAAAGGAAATTTTATTTCTACCCTTTTTAGAACATGTATTCCAGGATTCCCATGAGAAAGTACTTATCTGTTCTACATATACTTACTCATTTATGCATTGAAGTGTTTCATTTTTGATGTTATGTTTTTATATTTTTTTAACACTGTCCTCTTAATCTAAGCTGGAATTGCTGGGTTTTCTTCAATAAAAAGAAAAACAGTATGTCTGCCTATATTTTAAGTATGGCCTCACAAAATTATACTTGTTTTGAATTAAAATGAATGTAACAAATATAATTGTGCTGAAAATTTCGTGAATGATTTCACGTCACAATGGTGAGTCATGCAGAATGTAAAACAGAAACAATTGTCCAAAAATTAACAAAATAAAGTTAATTTTACACTATGTATTCGTGCTTACAATATCCTATTGAGGTGTAAGCCAGTGTTAATCAGAAGATGGCCTTTTAGATTCTCATGGAAACCCAGTGTCACCTGAAGACCAAGTCAGCCTTGCTCAGCAGATTTCAGATGTCGTGAAGCAGCCGGCATTCATTGCAGGAATCGGGGCAGCCTGCTGGATCATCTTGATGGTCTTCAGCATCTGGCTGTATCGGCATAGGAAGAAGAGGAATGGACTCACCAGTACTTATGCGGGCATCAGAAAAGGTATGAGCTTTCTTAAGTTTGTCGCATTTCACTATGCTTATAACACTCCTGGTTTGAAATTTTGACTTCATATTATCCATAAGTGTATATAGCCTTCATTACATTATTCTAAGGTATATGCTCAATAGTGCTTTTATTTTACCATTGTATCTGCATATTAACGTCTCTTGTGTAGCAGTACAACAGATAGAGCTCATGAGTTTCTTAGTTGATTTTCTTTAAAATATGTTTCACCAAGTTATGTCTATACTTGGCTATGGTACCATTGCTCTGTTCTCAGGGCAATTATTTTATTGCCTTATGCTCTTGAGTGACATTTATAATCTCTTTGTCATAGGAATTGTAAATTCAGGCTTCATACATATGTAGTTTTCAGGAGGGTGTTGTTACCCTTTGTGAGGCAACGAAAAGAGAATGCTACCATTTATTTGTAAAAGTAGTTCTTACTGAATATAGTACATGACTGAGTGATGTGCTTTAGTTAGCGGAGAGAACGCTAGTATTTTTTAATTCTTAGATGTAAAGATAAGGAGTTAATATTTGTATTCTCTTATTAGTGATTTTGTGGCATTTGCCTTTATAACTTTATTTATCATTTTGAGAATAAATCAAATGTACTAAAATATATCATAAACACCTTTGCTACATATCTTCAAACTCTGTATAGTTGATTTGGATTTTTTATTCTCTGAGGAGATTCTTAACACTCTCAAGTAGATAGTGTTACGTTCCTCCAAATACATTCATGAACCCTCGGCTATAGATAGGGCGGATGAAAGTCCTAGTTTTCAGAGGGTTGTCCCTTTTATTGTCTTTAGTGCAATAAAATGATTCACTATGTTGCTTTTCGTTCCCAAAATTATTATGGTTTGGATGAGAAATTGTACATTTTCACTCTACCCATATGGCCTATACTTCAGTCTAGTATATTAGTTTTTTTGCTACAAGACAAATTTAAAGAGGATTGCCAATGAAGACAACACCTTCCCAAATAACCCAACCTCCTCTTTTTTTTTAATTGTCTATGTATTTCCTAAATGAACATTTCCTCTGTATCTTGGCCAGGTCATTTTTCTAATTATATGACTAAGTCAGAATTGTCAGTGCTAGGTAGAACATGAACGCCTTTACACATTTTATAACACTTTCCGAGCTAGCAGTTTTTAATATTTGTGCTGTCATTTACAAGAGATCTTGGCAAAAAGGGAAAAAAAGAGTCAATACAGATTCATCAACGATACTATAAAAGTGAATCTATGTACCTCCTAACTGTGGCTTGGCAGCCACCTCTCCATGTGCACAGATTGGCCTTACCATTATCATCCCTAAATGTGTTTATTTTCAGATATGCGCTCTGTCTAGGGATGAAGCAAAATGTCAGTATCACTTCCTGTGAAATGGAAAATGAGGGCTTAGAGGTTACTGCAGAGAGTAGTGCTCATTGTGTATATAGAGAGGAACAATGGCAGGCACACGTGTTACCATATAAACCTTTGACTACAAATCAATGCAGAGAATTGTTTTGTGGGTATCTCTGCCTGGTGGAGTGGGGAAGGGGCTGGGCGTGATATTAGGGGGAAAATATGTTTTCAAATCTGATTTGAATGATGAAAAGTGACTAATATTTAAATGTGGAGTGTCTTGAATTTTCTGGTCAAAGGACCTCTGTCATGAGATCTATTTTGTAAATAGCCAGTCAGTGGAATCCAATGTTTCATAGCATGATGAAGTATCATAGCTGCGCAGTTATAACAACTTAATGCTCTATATTGTCTTGAAGTCTAAACATGTGACATGAAACTCTCCTTTCTGAAATGCTCCTTTTCCTTTACTAATGTTCTTTGAGCATGCTGACAAATGCCCGTGTGCTCTTTCTGCAGAGCCTATTAAACTAATATCATTTTCTTCCCAACTAGCTTCTGTTTAAGCAGAAATCATGAAACATAATTACAAATGTAATCTGATGAGCCCTTGATTCTGCTTTCCTCACTTTGTCCTGTTGGCACTTTTTCATAGTTCTGTTTCTATGCAATTTTTTTAAAAATGTGCATTTTGAGATCATAAATTTTCTGTGCTATAAATGGTGCCAGTAATTTTAGGTAAATAAGAGTTAAATATTTTGAAGAAATATGTGAAAAGAGCCTGCTGACTATAAAACAGCAAGCCAGAATATGGCTTTGGGTAGTAGCTAGCACTTTTCACATAACCCCCCCCTACATTTAGCTATGTGTGCGTGTACTCTGACCCTTGATACCCTGGCCACACACATCCTCATAGAGCAGCACTGGGTACACAGAGCGTTTAATATTGAAAGCTTTGAGAATTAAGTTGATTTTTGGTGTGCTAATTAGTGAAAATTTCATTTAGTACTGACCTTTTTTCATCTTTTCTACAATTTCTCAAACAGGGATTAGCAGTTGGTTAGAAGTAATGACAAGGACTTTTCATATTTCCCTGTGTCCTTGTGATTGCAAATTAATGTTCAGGCACTACATTCTTACTTGAATAGCTTTAGTTGCAGATGTCTACCTCTTCTTTTTTTAATGAAGACTTGTTACTATGGTTCTGAATTTTTGAACGTCGCTAAATTTCATTGACTCTGAAAAGACTTGACTGAAAGAAAGCACAATAGAATTCATAAGATGGGCTGCTTGCTGCAAACGAAGGCCAGTGTACATATAAATTGGGTACACAGCAGTGAGGGTTTTGTTGTTCTTTCTAGTATGCTCAGAGATAAAGTGGTTTTAAGAAGTGACATTGTAGAGGATGCTGCAGCATTCCACCTTGCAAGCATGATGGCTCTAAACCTAAAGTAAATTTCTTATCAATGTTCAAATGGAAATAGAAGATACATTTTTGGCAGATTTTTTGATACATGATAAGTAATCAATATTCTAGCTTGTTTGTCTTAAAGATGTTTTTAAAAGCAAGCTTTAATCTTAAAGGGAGCAAGGTAGATTTTCTTGCTTTCTTCACCAGAGCAACATTTACTTTAAATTAAGGGGAAGAGATTGAAAAATAAGTCAGTCTCCTCCCTCTATGAAATGACATGGAAATTGCTCTGGTGTTATCCCACACCCAGGAATAGGAGAAGATGGAAAAAGTGAGGGAGAGGCCAGGCAGCTACTTTTGAGGTCTACAGTTCAATTTCAGGCATTATTGATTAGATTAAGATTTATAACTGCAGAGAGAGTGAAGGTTCTCAGACGGGTGCTACTGTTATTGTTTAGCTTCTAGTGTGGCATTAAAAAAACGTTCAGCCTACTCCTAGAAAGCTTCTAAATGTAAACTATGACAGAGAAATTGAAGCTTAAAACTCCACATTTTTTTCTGCCCATTTACAAATTTTTATGATGCCAAAAATGTGGTGTTACTCTGCTTCTATAATGTCAAGCGTCTCTTGTCAGTGAAACTGTGATTTTATGATTTTCTTTGTTGCAGTCTCTCTTTCTCTCTTTCTCTCTTTCTCTCTTTCTCTCTTTCTCTTTCTCTCTTTTCCCCTCCCCTCCCTCTCTCCTTTTTTCTTTCCATTTTCTTTCCTTACCCCTTATAATAATGAATACTTAAGTGCACCTTTCAATAGTTCATTTAATAAGCATTTATGTCAAGATTTTTAGATAAGTTTTCAGCAAAACCCTGCAAATACTTGTTTAAGAATCCATCATCTAGTGTTTGGAAATGATTAATAGTGGAGGATTCCTGCTTGTACTGAAGCTGAGAGCTAAATCTGTGTTGCTAAATGCAGGGTCTTTCTCAGGCTAACCCAGACAGTTCCCCTCCCGAGAGTACGAGAATGTCAGACACTTCAGAGTGGTACCTGTGGAGACAAGTTTTTTTTTTTTTAACCGCAGATTTGGTTTTATTCATATATCAGAGTGTCAGACCTACTGGCTTGGTTGTTTACATTTGTTTTATGTTCAGCTGTCTGCTTGATTTATACTAATGTGATATGTTCCCCTTCTCTCTTCAGCTTAATAACTGGTTTATATTTTGTTTTGATTTTTCAGTCCCGTCCTTTACCTTCACACCAACAGGTATATATTTGCACTTTCCCTCCTCCTTTCCTTTGTGAGTTTGGCATGTGTTATACTATTGTGCTTCTGGTTTTAGCTCATTCTCAGCAGTAACTTGGGAGAAAGGACTTAGATGGAATGCAATACGTCATTGCTCATGCCAGGCGTGCATTCGAGGTAGAAATGGTTGGTGGTGCTTTCCATCCATTTAACATAGTTATTTATTCTCCACTCCACTTCGCATCTTGTTTGCATGTGTTTCCATTAAGTAGACACCCTGTTTCTGCCTTCAGCATGACTTAACATGCTAATCGTCTTATCGATTATTTCATACTTGGCCATGTATTTTTCCCTGTAACATAAGCTTTCAGGTCTTCCAACAAAAATTCCTCCCCCTTGTAATTCTCTGGCTATAGAATTAATATTCTTAAAGGTAACTAAAAACATGCAACACCTGTGAAAGATAAAACTTCACAGTTTCTTCAAGTCAGAATCCTTATATTCTATTCCATTCAGTTTCTATCAAAGTGGGTTCCCTTTTCTCACATCACCTCGAGTCAAAGGTGTACCTGTAGTTATGCCTCCTCAGTTTTAATCCAGTTACTAGACTTGCTGGGAGCAGTTATCTCTCCCTAACAGACCACCAGTTTGGAGTTTCTCTAAGTAGCAGAACTTTGCAGCTTTTGAAAACACATTTCTTCTTAGAAAATGTGTCTGTATTTACAAAAAAGCTAATCTTCTTAATCCCTTGCCTAACTATGTGCAAACCTTTCTTTTTTGTGGTTATTCTGGCTGTTTTAAACCCAAAATTTATTAAGTGAGAATGCTTTCAAAAAAGCATTATAATATACTTTCATTATGTATATGTGTCTTTTAAAATATAATGAGAAAGGCTTTCCAAAGGCCACATTAGTTAATAGGCACAACTTGGTGTATTTCTTTGTGTGCAGAAAGAAGTTTTCTTTAAATATTTATCTGTGTTTTACTTTATTCATTCTTCTGAGAAACAAATCTACTCGGGTATATTTTCCTGAATTTAAGATAATATAAAAGTCATAAAATTACGTGTTTTGATAAAAAAAATTCAAAACGAATCTATGGAATGCTAATCTACAAATATTCAATTGTTTTGTTTTACAACAGTGTACTGCAGTTTTAATTTTGCTTTTCTCAACCTGGTTGGAACACTAAGAATATAGTTCTAAAAAAAATATACCAAAAAGTTACTAGTTGAGTAAGCAATATGCTATGTCCTGTTGTTGTCCTGTAATGATTTTTTACAATACTTCTAGGTAGAAGGGACAAAGAATGTCATTTTAGAAAGATTCCCATGAATGTAATAGCTTTTGGTGGGTAAATATGTCTATTAATTGTTCTTTTTTTTTTTGTAACATTCTAGTAACTTATCAGAGAGGAGGTGAAGCTGTGAGCAGTGGAGGGAGGTAGGTGGATTCCAAATATTTCTTCTGGTCTTTCTCACTGATGATACTTTCATTGTTTAAAACCTTTGATTTAAAGGTGAAATTTCTTCAAACCCTTCAAAAAGACACTTCAGTTGTGCGGTTGAATCAAGCTATTTATTGATGGGAGCTGTTGCATTTTAGTCAGTGACCACCAGAGGATGCACTTTAACCAAGAAAAACAGTTGCTGATTTAGCAGAGGATTAAAAGGAGTTAAAGTGATTAAGCTGTGGCATTTATGAAGATTAAGAAATATAGCTAGTTAACAGATACTATCAAAGAAAAAGTGTTCATTTGAAAACCTGCTGAACGCAGCAATTGCTCATAAGTTGTAGGTTATGTTTGTTTGTTCTTGTTATGAATTCAGCATGGTTCACATCTTCATTTGCAGGGAACTATGGTGAAATAGAAAAAGAAATCTAGGTAGCTTGTTAACAAAGAGCTTTTCCCCTCTCTAATTAAAATGAACCTCAATCCTATATTTATGATTTTTTAGGTAATTATCATTCAGTGAACCTTTAATATATTCACAGAGAAATCACAAATTGATGTGACAGAAGGCTTAAAGAATCTGGAGGAGGGTATAAATTACATGAGGTGAGCTTAAGGATTTTCCACAAATAAGGTGATTTTTTTTTTCAAAAGCAGTAACATCAAGGTATAAGGAAAAAAAAAACTCCTCCAACCATAACCATTTTATAATTCAAATTAAATTAACTTAATGAGAGTCTTTCTTTGTATAGATGAATAATGTGGTTTGCTACTGGACAGAGAGAAATGAGTAAGATATTATTCCTGAATGCAAGCAACATACCATCTGACAAAATCACTGAACTTAGTACATAACAAAGAGTGAGTTTAAAAGAAGGATGTTGGCTACCTTTAGCCCAATGCTGTATAAATGTGGCAATAAGAACTAATCTTTTCTTTCCTGGGTACTGCTAACTTCCTGTTCTCCAACCTGCCAAACAAAGCTAGCCAAGGAAAACCCCTAAAAACCCTAAAGCTAGGGAGGTCTTCATAAGGAATAAAACAACTTGATTCAGGAATTAAATCAGAGATTTATTATTATTACTATTTTTTTACCCAGGGGAATTTCATGTAAGTCACAGCCAGACATTCATTAAAGAGCGTCTGGCAGAAGAACATTTTCTCATGTGTAAATCTGGAATTCCTGATTATTTAACCACCTCTTTAGATGTGTATGCACACTTCAGTTTTCTTGGCACTAATCTTTGTGCATGGGTGTGTGTGCACACACTTAAACATATGTGTACACACATAAAATATTAACCTGGTTTCTGCTCTAAAGATAGAGCAAATTATCTCATGGGAAACAATGCAGAAATGCAGAGTTATCAAATGCTGGTTTCAATGGCAGGAATGAAAGACCACAAACTTCCTGAACTATCTATTTGGAAACTAACTAACAATGAAGGCATAGAATTTTCTATTTGAAAACAGAATCCTGGCAGTAAAAGTGATTTATTTCAAGTACTAAACAGAAATAATCATTTACATAAATGAGATGACAAAAGTGCTGGAATGTCACAGAAGGCAAGCTAAATAAAGATTTTAGAGTTACTGCTCTAGATGTAAATTATATACCAATTTTAAATGTATTTATTCTTTAAGTATAATGAACACCTACTATGTGGTAGGCACTGTTTTAGCTGCTTAGAATTAATCAGTGAGTAAAGTAGATTAAAAAATTCCTGCTGCTGTGTACCTTACGTAATGGTGAAGGAGACACGAGACGAATAATGGTATTTTTAAAAGTCAACAATACAATATTAGCAATTGATAATATTGTGGAAGAAATGAATATGATAAGAAAGATGGGTGCATTAAGAAGAGGCCTCATTCCTAGGCAATAGAAGGTATGTGTGTCTGTGTGTGTAAGTGAGAGGGGGAGTGGAGAGATGAGAATGTGTGAGTAGATGTGCCTGTCTTGTGTAATCAGTGGTGAAGAAAAGGAATAGTCACCCGTACTCCTGTACTGACTTGTCTCACGTGCACCCCTTAAGCCCTGGTTTCCATAATGCATCTCTCACTAGACCTGATACTCTCTTGTTTAATGACACCTAAGTCAAATTTTTCTAGTCAAAACTCTTTCACTTCCTGTATCCATGACTGCATTCTGTTGATCCCATCTCACTCCCGTCATGATCACTAACATTGTTTCCCACCACACACGTCCTCCCTTGCCTAATCTATAACCAAAGTTCTAGGTGTCCTAACTTCATTAAAACGTCTTGTTAACTCTGCCTACCTACTGAAGGCAAAATGAGCATTTGAAATGTATATTGATTGTATCTCTGTGTTGCAGAAAATTCAGTTTTTTTGGGACTACCATGTCTAACATTATCAAATCAGATGTGATATAGAATGTGAAGCCCGCAAACTCTAGAGCTTTGGAGGTTCATTTCTCACCTCTGTGGATCAGGCACTCTGATCCCTTGTGTCAACTCACCTGTCATTCATCAATGTTGCATTCTCTTATGTGTCCTCACTGCATTGCACATGGCATATTGCATTAGCCTAAGAATGTCCTCCACCTATCACCCCTTGTTGGTTTATCCAATTTCACCTCAGAGAGCCTCCGTGAAATCTGTACAAGGTAATGTACTTATCTTTTGTTGATATCAAAGGTCATCAAACTACAGTTCTTAGTATTAATCCATCCTGCCACCTATTTTTGCATACAAAGCTTTGTAAGAATACAGCCAGGCTTCTTGGTTTACCTTATTGTCTATTACTGCTTTTGAGCTCCATGACCTGCTACTGAAGAGTAGTTACTACCTGATCCTTGACAGAAAGGGTTTGCCAACCTTTGGTGTATATGATTACTCTGACAGTAGAATGTGAGATCCTATTGTACAAGAATACATGGTTCATGATCAATAAAGAATTTTTTGTAATGTAATAAACAATTTATTGAATGATGAATAAATTCAATATTTACATGAATTATGTGTCTCTGAATGGTAACATTAATAAGAAAAGAATGAATGAGTTATTGAATAAATGAACATCAGAGGGCCTAAGTTCAGTCCTTGATGACTATAAAGAAATTATTTGGGTTGGGATTTTTTTTTTCTTAATAAAGGAAGAAATTATCTAGAATTCTATCTTCCAATTCTCCAAATTATAAATTTAATTATTCCCAAAAAAGAGAGAATGAAAATTGTGGTAAGCAAAAAGACTTTTTCCCTACTTGAAAAGGGCAATATATTTATATATTATATATGATATAATCCAGGAGGGTATCATAGAAATGTTAAGTAGCTGTTCTTAATAACTTGTTTTCCTTACCTCAAATATTTTAGTTTCCTTTTCCAAAAATTCCACTTAAAATCCAAACCACAATATGAATCAGGAAAAATTAGGGAAAACCTGAAAAGTGGAGTGAGAAAGTCAGGCTAACTTGATAAAGAATAAGAATAGCACATTTCCTGTTAGTATGGAGCTCAAGTCTTGATTCTGTTTAAACAATTGGCAACTGTTAGATCCATCCCAAGGCTTTAAAACTCATTCAGTCTGTCAGCAGGAAGTGGACACAGCCTGTAGCCTAACAACCCTCACTGCCAGGATTCTTCACTAGTTTTACCAGTTCCTGAACTCTGTAGTAATTTATGTTGTGGTTTAGCAGTTCAAATAGGTTTTTTTGGAATGAGTGATTGGGATATCTGAAGTTAGAGATAAGGAAGAATTGAAGGCAATTACCAAATAATTATAAAACACATTTGCCTTCTTTTCCTTCATGATATAAATCAATCCCCTTAATATATTACATCATAACATCATATAAAGATATTTTAAAAACATTAGTCACCAAACAGCCTACATTTTGCTTCTGCTTCATATTTTGTTGTTGAACAGCTAAACTGGCTGATACACATTAGTTAAACTGAAATGTAAAAAGGTAGCCTGTGAAATTGTTAGCTTAAGAAGACCTTAACATCTTTATCGGAGTAGCTGCATATGATTGTTCCTTTCTCTAAGGCCTTTGAAATACACACATGGCATTTTAAGATTCACTGTGGGACAGTAACCATGACCTACCTTCTCCCTTAAATAATTAACATTCCAAACTCAAGTCTAAACAGAAAGCTAGGATGTAAGTTGTTAATCCTACTTCCTTTTGGAAGTCACCCATCTATATGAAAAGTTCTCTAAGCCTATGATGATATCAAAGCATTCACTGTAAAAGTGTTTTTTCATAGGGAATCGTAGCATAAAAATACTGTCTAACCCTTTTGAAACATGTAAGTCAGACTGTGGAAATTTTCCATTGACCCACACTTCAAACATACCATAATATCTCTACAATGTCAAATATGGGAGTTTTATTTTTAATAACTTCTACTATGATAACATTTACGGCTTAAGTTCAAGGGAAAAGAGAATAAGAACGCTCAAGATTACTTGATGCAGAATTTCTGTAACTAACATCTATTCCAAAAACTAGAGAGATCTGTGTCAGTTTTGTTTTAAATATTTAAAATTTTGACAGTTTGGCAACATTGCTCTTCAAAGCGTGGTTTTTATCAACAATTTAATAGTTGACTCAGTTTTAACAGCTTCTTCCTGAATTTCAAGACTTAAGACATTTTCTCCATGTGTCTCTTTATTAGGAGTATTAGAGAGCTTTAGAGAATATGTTCACATTCCTGGAATATGCACATATAACATCCTGTGTCACAGTGGGGACTCTGGAGCTGCTGTTTGTGTTTGAATTCTAGTCCTGCCACTCACTCACTTTCTATAACTGTGCCAGATGTCTTAATCTCTTTCAGTTGCCCCAAGTTCCTCATCTATAAAATTTAGATAATATTCTAAACCCCTAAGTTTACTGTGATGATTGAATGGGTTAATATTTGTAAAGAACTGAGACCCATACTTCACACATTATGAACAGAGTAAATACTCATTTTAATTCCATAAATAAATATACACATATAAGAGATATAAGTTATACATCCATATTCTCCTTTGAAGTGAATTATTCCTCAAGTTATCATTATTTGCATAACAAGGTTTTTTTCTGTTGACTACCTATATGGTAGAATAGAAATTCTGGAGATGGAAATGTCAGGTTCTTGCTTCCCAGCAAAATAAGAAGAATGGTTATTGCACTTCAGCAGTGAAAATAAAACCAAAAAGAAAATCTTTGCATGATGTGTAGGCCCATCTGTTTATATGGATCAGGCAGTGCATCACTTACATCACTGCTTTTGCTGAATTATCACATGTAGTCAGTGTTGTAGAAAGACATATAGGATGTAGCTTTTTGATTCCAGTTTGAGTCCCTAGCAACATTTGTCTAGGGATCCAATTAGTAATTATAGGTGCATTTTACCTCCCCAGTGCATAGTAAAAGAAGTTTAACATCTGTTGTGCCAAAAATAAAACAAACAAAAAAAACATGCAACCTGATATATATTTTAGTCAACATCTTTGGCAAACCATATTTGGTACAGTAGGGACTTCTTTGTTGTTGTTTACATACAGAATTAGGACATTTTACATGTGGCCATCAGAAAATGTTGACAAGTGTACAGACTGCACACTGAATCACTGATGTCCCTCTGCAAAATGTCATAGAGCCTCTAACTCACTAGTTCTGAAAGAAACATGGTTTTGATGAAAAGTATGTAAATGTGCCTAATAGGAAGGGTTCATTGTCTCAATAAAGGAGTTTTTTCCATTTTTTAATGCACTTGTGAGAAGAGCTATAATTTTTTAATGAGCCAAAAATCAAGAAATGGAAATGGCCTTAACTATAGTGTTTTTAAACTACTGAAAAAGTCAAAAATATATGGACCCAAAATTTCAGAGTATATGTTTAATTTTTAATCACTATAACTAAAGACAGAATGAAACATTGTAAATAGTATGGGTTTTAACTCTGAAACACAACTCTACTGGTTTTCAGTCTTCTGACTGTGCACACTGAGATACTCCCAGAATGTACATTATATTACAGTTGCCTATCTGTAAATAAAAGGAATAATAACATCATTGAGAATAGTTCAGCAAATTACTGTGAGATAATGAATGAAATGAAGTGTTTGGTGGAATTCTAAGTAAGAAATATTTTCTGTTCATGCATTTGCTTTTGTGCATTTCATGTCATTAGGCCAGGACTTCTCAACATCAGTGAACCTGCCACACAACCATGGCTGGCAGACACATGGCCCAACACTGGCAACAATCACAATGACTGCTCCATCAGCTGCTGCACTGCAGGCAATGGGAACAGCGACAGCAACCTGACAACCTACAGCCGCCCAGGTTAGGGGCACAGAGAGAAACTGATGTACAACAGCTGTATAAGGAATTAGGCAGGAGGGCCAATTTTCCTTTCCCTCTCTCTACATGAGGAAGAAAAGGTTCATCAACATTTTTGCGAAATGATGAACATTATATATCAAACTTGCCTGATTAGCCTGATTTGATAGATAGATAGATAGATAGTGATACCTATTTGAATTAATTAATTTATGTGTCACTACACTGTCTAATATGGTAGCCATTGGCCCACAGGTAGCTATTTAAATTCAAATTAATTAAATAAAATACAATTTAAAATCCAGTTCCTTATTCACAGCAGCCACATTTTAATTGCTCTGTAGCCATACATGGCCAGTGGCTGCTACATAGACAATGCAGGGTTCAAGGTGTCCACAATCATAAAAAATCCTCTTGGATAACACTGATACAGAAAGATTGGCAAAGCAAAAAGATTGTCAAAACCATGTTGCCTTTATAATATTTCTCAATCACTATTAAACAAAACTTAAGACCTAGAAATTAAACATAATAATCACTGTAGGCCAGATGAATTAAATATTCTTGCACCCTGATCATGTATGATCGTGAATTCAGTCAGTTGGAGAAGTCACAAATTCTTCTTAAGATTGTGTTCATGTTTACATCTTCATCAGCAAGTACATTAACTTGTCATTTTAAAGGATATTCAAATGAAAAAACCAGCTCTCAAGGAACGTGTTAATGTTGGTGCCACTTTTGAACAACATTAATAAAAAAAAGCGATTTTTTCCATGGTAACATTACTTTTATTTTAAAATGTTTTAACGTTAAAAATATGAATTTCTTCTTGCTGCTAAAATACTTCCAACTGCAGGTCTTCAATACGTCTAAATGCATCAGTTATTTAATCCCTAATTATTATAATGAAGGGAAAATTACAGTGAAAATGAGATATTAGACATATTAGATATTATTTCAGGCTTTATTTGATTGAATGACCCTGGTTACTATGATTCATTTTGTCATCATTATTGTCATTTTATGCTTCTTGGGGTGTCCTCAAGAAACCATAAAAAATGATTATGTCATATCTTTTCCTGATAATGATTATCCTACATGAGTAATATATGAACTAATAAAATTCTCCTGAGTACAGTTTACTATTACTTTACTTCTACCCCTCCTATCTTTCTCACAGAAGTTGTTTATAAAACATTAAAATCTTTGATCTGCACTTAGAGGGATTTTCCCCTTTGTCTGAATTCTCTCTCAGCTTTGTTCTGTTGCTTCCTCAGCTAACTAGTAGTTTCAAGTAGCTCAGTAACCCAAGGCTAGAAAATTTAAATTTGATACATAGATATTCACACGTGTATTCTTTTAATGAAATTCCTATTAATGAAGTAGTTAAAGGAAAATTACTTTATATCGGATAAATTCTTTACCACACAGCACAAGGAGGCATTCAAAATGATTTCGTTTTCTACACGAAATCTGAATATACTCTTGTCTTCTCAAATGTTGCTTTCTTTAGAATGCCCATGTAAATATTTGGCCATTTCTATTGATCATATTTAAGCCCATTTGTACTTTACCTACCAATTTTACTGTAACTCACAAAGCTTCTTAGAAAGAAATTTAAAACGAATAACCATGCAGAATGACTTTTTCCTTTTCCTCTCCATTGCACATAGCTGATTGTATAGCAAATTATAACAACCAACTGGATAACAAACAAACAAATCTGATGCTCCCTGAGTCAACTGTTTATGGTGATGTGGACCTTAGTAACAAAATCAATGAGATGAAAACCTTCAATAGCCCAAATCTGAAGGACGGGCGTTTTGTCAATCCATCAGGGCAGCCCACTCCTTACGCCACCACCCAGCTCATCCAGTCAAACCTCAGCAACAACATGAACAATGGCAGTGGAGACGCCAGCGAGAAGCACTGGAAACCACCCGGTCAGCAGAAACAAGAAGTGGCACCAATTCAGTACAACATCATGGAGCAAAACAAGCTGAACAAAGGTGAAAAGCTTTGTGTTGATTCCCATTCAGTTCTGTAGTGATACTCTTAACCCTTCAGCACTAGATGTCAATACTTGTCTGTGTCTAGCAGAGATTTTCTTGTTTCTTTGGTTTCAAAGTTTCCAGTGTCAAAGAGTTAATTAGCACAACAATAACCTTGGAAAATTGATTTTATAATAATATATAAGTATTTTCAAATGGTTTTAAGATTAATTTAAATTTAATAGTAGGTGAGAGATTGCTTAGGACATACGATCTTTTATTCATAAGGCAGATGTACAACCATCACGATACCTCACATTTTCAATAAATAAGACTATCCCATTCTTTCCACTTGAGAATGGAGGATAATTGCTTCTACATGGTCATATAAATGAATGGCATTTTTATATCAAACTGAAGAAATATAATTGAATTAAACTTGAACTGGAGAAGTGGTTCAGTTTGTTGTATCATGTCATGTGGTTACTAAGACTGCTACAGTGTATAATTTTAGAATCTAAATTTCCTTGGAAATTATTTTAGGATAGAACCTAAAATAAATTGAGTTTAGTATTAACTTGAAGCAGCAGAACAGTATTTTATGGCCTGTGGGGGATGTCTCTGTATTGTCATACTTGTGGGTTGGAAGAGATAGGTATTTGATTTCTTTGTATTTCTCAGGCTACTGCTTTAATAAAATTATTTGCAAAGTTATACTTCTAGGAAAAACAGGATGGGCTAATTCAAATAGATGGGGCAATATTCTGCAAGTATCCAGATAATTAGAGACAAAGATTTATTTTTATCTAAGCTTGAGTTGAGAGCACCTTCCTCAAAAATAAAATTTATTATAGTTGGAGATTACAGAAAGATAATGCAAGCATTTCATTTGATTATGTTAGTGTTATATATTTTAATTTGATAATAAAGTCATCTAGCCTGTTCTCAAGTTTAAGAAAGCACTTGATTAGTATAATAATCAAATTTAACAAATATTTATTAAGACTCCTGCATAAATCCGTGATGAAGACTTGGCAAAGATAAATTCAAGAGTTTCAGCAATCATGGAGTTTACTGAGGGAATTCAAACTATTGTCACATTATTCTTCCATAGTATATGGTTTCTCTCTTGACTGTGGGAAGCTATGGCAGTCCTCTGTACAGTTCTGAATTTCAGAACTCTGATTCATTGTTTATGCTGCTTATAAGCAAATTTGGTATTTTAGAGGATAATAAATACCCTAGAATACAACTAGACTAACAAATTATCACTGACTGTATTCCAGTGGCAAGCTTATCATTTGGATTTCTGGGACAGATTAAGATATTTTAATTTCTTATCAGGGATAGATTTTAATTAGATGTAATCTTGCTGACAAATTTCAGCTTTTTAAGATTTTTTTATTTTTCAATGCTGGGATTTGAATTCAACCTTTTTTTTTTTTTGAACCAATCTACCAGCCCTTTTTGTGATGGGTTTTTTCAAGATAGGGTCTAGCAAACTATTTGCCTGGGCTGGCTTCAAACTGCAATCCTCCTGATCTCTGTCTCCTGAGTAGCTAGGATTACAGATGAGGGCCACCAGCGCCTGGCTTATTTAGTTTTTGAGGGGTGGTTTCACTACATAGACCAGGCTGAGGTTGAGCTTGCTCTGTAGCCCAGGCTGGCTTCAAACTCTTGATCCTCCTTCCTCAACCCCTGTGTGCTATGATTACAGATATGTACCACCATACCTGGCTTACTTTTGATTTTACAATAATTTATGTCTTATGATTTGTAGATATATTTTCATGATTTTTTCTTTCAATTATTTTGTTATATACACACATACACACACACACACACACGTACACACACACACACGTGTGTATGTGTGTATGTACTAAGGATTGAACCCAGGGCATCGTGCATTCAGAGCATGTGCTCTCCTGCTGAACTACACCTACAGTCTGCTACAATATTTTTTAAATATCAATTTGGAAAATAAACCTTTTTATACCTTGACATTCTGAATATAAAAATAAAAGATTAAAGCAGGCAAATAAATGATCCAGTTGGTTTCTTCACTTACTTAGAAGTTTAGCCAAAACAAAGAAATGTGGAATAACGTGCAAACAGAAGTGTTTAATTTTTTCCATCTGAAATGTCTAGATTATCGAGCAAATGATGCAATTCCTCCAACTATCCCATACAACCAGCCATACGACCAGAATACAGGAGGCTCCTACAACAGTTCAGATCGGGGCAGTAGTACATCCGGTAAGTAAGGAAAACCAAAGAAAATGTCAACCTCTCCTTTTAAAGATGGCACATTCCAAGATTATGAATTGGGTGTTAATGGTCTGATGTGCTTAGGTGACATATATAATCACTTTATACAATTTGAATTCCAGACGGGTCTAGTCTCTGCAGTTTAAAGGCATGTCCACTCAATAAACCATTTTATGCTCTATTTGGTATCAACTACTAAGCATCCTATTTCCTCTTTGTTAATGAGATTTAATAAATTCAGAAGTATGAACTAATCTTTAAAGGAAATTAAAGCTTCTTTTTTCCCTTGGCCAGTAAGCTAAAAATGATACACATGTAGTTAATCTGCTAAATATGTTACCATTTGAAACTAGACTGTAAAAGCAAATAACATTTGAGTACACTTAAGCAGAATTAAAGCCTAAGGGACAATCACCTGAGATGTAGGTACTGGGGGAACCTGTCTCAGTTTATACCTCTCAATTCTTGCTGAACACCTCATAAAGCAACCTTGCAACCTACGTCTGTTCAGACCTCAAAAACTATATTGAAGCTCTTCTCTGTGGTCTTCATGCTGTTGCAGCTGTTTGCCAGCTGTTTTCCTGATAGGGGCTGCAGATGAGCACTTACTGGTATTTGAGTTCTGCTTTTCCAATTAAAGACAGTTCATTATTAGAAATAACATGTGGCAAGTCACACTCCAGTGAAAACAAACCAATTGATCTTGAGTGGAACATGTTTCTCCATGACAGTGAAGACATGGCACCTCCTGGCAACTGAGTTAAAGTGTTCTAGGTTCTTTTAGCTAAGTGTCTCTACCCCTCTTCTGTAATGAATACCACATTTGCATTTTACTACCTTCCTTTAACTAAGGAATGCTGGTTTGGCATTTTCTAGCCTGTTGTGAAATGGTTCCCATGGGAAATAAAGGAGTTTAGAAATGGCCCTTTAACTTTTTAGTTTTTCTCAGATTCTATTGTACTTTTTTAACAAAATATTATTAAATGAATTTTTACAGTAATTAAACTCTGAGTTAATATCTATTTTAGGGAAAATTGCATAAAATATTTAATCATTTTATTATTACATGCCATTTCATCTTTGAATTCTTAGTAACTTATAGGGAAAGTCATATCTTAATGGGAAAAAAACCCACATGATTCTAGGTTAGTGATTTTCAGTTGACCTCATCCTTCCTTCAACTTAGATACCTAGATCTGGATGTTCTGCCATTTTATCATTTGTTAGTCTATGGATGTTTGGTGAAAAGATTTTAAAGATGGAAAATACAGTGATAGGTAAGAGAGAGAACAAAGGAAGTAAATAAAGTGTAAGAGAAATTTGTGCTGTTAAGCTTCTTAGGACTGATGAGGTTGTTACAGAAGATGCATATCAGGAAGTCAAGAGTAAGACAGTAATGTCAGCTCCAGTACCCATACCCAGGCATCCCAATACAAGGCAACTGAGTGCTAGAAGGGAACAGTGACACAGTCATAGAGCTGACAATTGCAGTGTTAATAACAGCCAGTTCTTCAGCCCACACTTGGTGTAGTAACATACCACTGCAAGTACATCTGACATAAAAAATAATGCCATTTCACTGAAAATTCCCAAGAGACTTAAGAGAAAATAATTCTCTTTGAATAAACTAAAACCTGTTTAATCCAACATGTGACTTGTAGCTGTTTCAGATAGAACTAAAAAAAAGTCAAGATAATTCATAAGGGGTCATATGAGAAAAAGTAATTATAATTATGCATAAATTACAACATATGCATAAATCTAAAGTATATCATATTGATACAGAATATTTTATCCCAAAGTATCTTTTGACCTCAAAACTTTTAGAAATGAATATATGTATAGCTGCCAATGTTTAAAGAATAGGCCAAATCTCAAATCAAAGCACTGAATAGCACATGAATAGTTGGACTGTGCCAGACTCCTAAGCATGTCCAACCACATTTTTTTACTATGTAAGCCATAATTTTATAGAAGAATGGCTGAAAACATTTCCGTTCCTTTTTAACTAAAACATTTTTCTGCTTCTTTTGTTATTAGTTATGTTAGTTCTTCCTGCAATTATTTTCATCTCTACCTGCCTTTCTGAAGAAAGCTAGTAATTTCATTGTGTCTAAAACATTTCAGTGGACAAGTACAAATTACATATATTCAGTGATTTAATGCAAGAGTGGAACTCTAATAGATTGTATCTGTATCATATTGTATTTTAGGTTTCAGCAATTAAATGATAGAAAGACACTCCAGAAAATACGTCTACAGCTCATTTGTTTTAGATGATAATCCATAATGCAATTAATTGCTATAGGAAGAGCACTATTAATGATATGACTTATAAAATTCATACATGGTTATATTGCTTTCTGTGTATTTTATTTTTTCTATTGTACAAAGTTCTGTTTAAAATTAATGAAGAAAAGTATGTCTATCTCTATATTTATATGGATTATAAGATCATATTTGCAGAAAATAATTAACTTGTGGATGGTGGAAAAATTTTAAAGGTCAGAAATAAAAGACTTATATTTTATTTCTTTTCTAGGGAGTCAAGGGCACAAGAAAGGGGCACGAACACCCAAGGTACCAAAGCAGGGTGGTATGAACTGGGCAGACTTGCTTCCTCCCCCACCAGCACATCCTCCTCCACACAACAACAGTGAAGAGTACAGTGTTTCTGTAGATGAAAGGTAGGGGGAATGTCAGATGGAGGTGGTATAATATGATTGCTTAACCAGAAACAACTAACTGTTTAATTGGATTGCCAAGTGGAGACTTATTCCTAAAATCCACAAACACCTGTCTCTAAATAAAATGCTGTCAATCAGTGGGATTTAGAAACCCTCCCCAGGGCTGCCCAAAAAGGGAATTCATCTTTTGGAAGCTGCTATAGGAACTGAGGGTTTTATATTTATGTGTGTATCATCCACATATATTATATAGATAGATAGATATGATATTGTATACAGAGTATATATATAATCACATATATGATTTTGTGATTTTGAAGTACAGGCTTGCATTGGATAAGGACATTTCATCTATGTTGGACCACATATTCTATGGTAGTCCCATAAAATTTTAATGGAACAGAAAAATTTCTATTGCCCGGTATTTTTATTGTACCTTTTCTATGTCTTCATATGTTTAGAAACACAAATACTTACCATCGTGTTATAGTTTTTTCTTAGATATTATTACATTATGCTGAATACCATTTGTAGCTCTGTACTTTGCAGAATTGATTCTCACAAGAACTTAACAAGTATAAATAATCCACACGACGAGAACTTTAAAAGGTGTGCTTCTTCCCTACTCCAGAACCTGTGTAACTGGTTATGATATCGCCAAAATAAACAATACAGCTGCTTTACTAGTAGGATAAAGGAAGGAGATCTCACTCGACAGAATATTAACAGCCCCAAAATGAATCTACTTGAAAATCCAATCTTTTCAGTGACTAGAAATAAATAGAAATTAAGGCTTATTCATTCATTCTTCACAAAAGAAGTATTTTACAGTTCCAACTCTGCCTAGAAACAAAGCCCCTGTGCGGCTACTTCCCAATAATTAGACAAAAATATTTACAGGCACATCTCTTTATCCATAATAGTTATGCTGTAGAAAAGTTGCTGTAAGATGCAACACATGTGTCACGAGCACGTATTTGCTGCATGTGCTTTTTTCATTGTTTTTGTTTGTATGATACTTTAAAAATGCACACATCATTCTTAGCTCTTGATATTTAAAACTAGCTCATGGGTCAGATTTGGCCCACAGGCCTTTGTTGGCTACCTGTGCAGTAGCATATGTAAACAGCAAAGATTTACTTTCTGTTTGTTACCTGACAAAGATGATTTCTCACGAAATATACTTTTTTGTAAGGAATCACACATCAAACTCCTACATGCTAATATAAGTAAAGGCAGACCAAACAAGTATACAATATGCTACTACAGAAATAAAACATTTTTTCTCCATTTCTTCACTGTTGTATATCAGGGTTGTTTTACATTTTTCACTATCATAAAAATTAAGCAGAAAGCAAATAATAACAGTAAAATCATAACAATGATAATAATAGAGTCACTGTGGACACTGAGTTAGTTAATATTGAACAATTGTTCTCAAGGGAATACAGGTTTAGGCTCCTTGGAGTCTCTGGACACATTTTTGTCAATATGTAGCATTGTTTCATGTGTTTTCTGATTAAACATACTCTATTTAGTATGTATTTTTTCATTAACATGAAATATAGCCAACAGCACTTTGTCGTGTCTGAAATAATTCATCTCTAACAGATACAAGGCACATCAAACTCTTCTGGTACTTAGGGACATGGCACAGAACTTCAGCACTTCTTTAGTTACACAGAAAAATCACCAATATTGAGTTAAAATTTTTTTAAAAATCAGGCACTGAATAAACTGTGCTAAAAAGCCACTTTACAGTGTGACCATTGGCATAAGAAAGCAGAATGTCATCTCGTTTCACCTCAGATGAGAATACATATGTCAGGGAACTCAAATTTTTTGGCTTCTTTGTATATGTGGGGGAATGAACATAAAAGTGTCACAAATATTAATTTGGAGGTTCCAAATATACCTTACTAAATCAGTGACTCTGCAGATATGGCATCTGTAAGTAACAAGATGAACAAGGTTGTGTTTTTAAAAGTTTATTTTCCAGGCTATTTTAACACAATAATTTTTATTATTTTAGTTCACAAATATGAATTTAAAATGAAAAATTTGGTACAGGTAACAAAATAAAACCAAAAACCTTTGTGAGATACAACTGTACCCCAAAGAAAAAGACTGATTTTAATAGCAAGATGGAAGTGTTCCTGATCTGCTGGTAGTTGTTTTTAACCTCGACACAAGAGCAGATTCTCAAGTCAGAGGAGGGGTTTTATGGACCACACAGAGTTGAGGACTCCTGGAGACCTAACATGAAACACATGGTAGGGAGTGAGAGGAAGACACAAAGGCAAATGTAAACCAGATACTGGAACATCTTGCCTTGGCATTTTTATTTTATTCTCTAAGCAATTAGGGAACCATTTATTATTTTGGAGCAAATGAATAACTTGAGAGTGACATGCATTATAGTAAAGTCATTTTGGATCAATGCAAGGATGGTGAATGAAGGAGTGACTGGAGGCAAAGAGATCAATTAAAAGATTATTGCAATAGCACATATAACAGATTTTTAAAAGGATTAGACTCAAGAGGTTTTATAAATAAAACAGAGATGAATTGGGGAATAATAGTTTGATGGAGAGGAGAGAAAGTTGTGATGCTCAACAAGGTTTCTGGTTTGGATGAATGAGAATTTCTACACTAGATAAAAAAGGAAACAGAAAAGAGTATGATGTTAGGATTAGAGAAGTCAAGGAAGATATAAAGCAACCTCATTATTTGAACATCAATTCTTCTGAGTTAAGGAAAACAGCAGATTGTAAAGAATGAATAAGAGAGAAGCGTAACAAAAGCACCATTTATATAGTGCAGGACATCACTGCCTTTCTAATCAGTAAATGTATACCCTAGGGTAAGAAGAAAGAGAAAAGCATGAATTTCCCTAGACTTATCTTGATTCACTGAAGACTTTAGCTGTAGTAAGAGGGCATGTCATTTTTCAAGGACTTTGACTTTTTTACTCACCATCCTAAATACAAACTAATTCATTCATTTTGTGCAAAACTAAAGAAACAGTGATCTACTCCAATTTCAGACAAAATGTGAATTGTATTGAACTACATAAGTTGATTTCCATCCAATACATCTCCCTTTGGAAGGATTGTAAGAGTAATTTTTTCTCAGAATTTAGAACTTCATCTTGGGCTATCTGCAATACCATTTTTGAATCTTCTTCTAGACAGCATGCTGAATTAGAAGAGAATATGCCCAGTGCATTTGAGGTGTACTATGTTAAACAATGTTAAAGCAGATTTCTTTTGCATGACTTCCCAGCCTTATACTATAAGCTGCAGTCCTTCAGAGAAAATTTAGCATATCTATTAATTCACAAACCAGTATGCAGTAAACTATTTTTAAGCAATGAGTCATGACTGTGATCAAGAACATTCAGATTTGATAAACAATTTGTATTCCAAATTACAATACAAATCATACGTTTGGTGACCTGAAATAAGTTTACATGTTCTTATAATTTGTTTTAGCTATGAGCAAGAAATGCCTTGTCCTGTACCACCAGCAAGGATGTATTTGCAACAGGATGAGTTAGAAGAGGAAGAAGATGAAAGAGGCCCCACACCTCCTGTTCGGGGGGCAGCTTCTTCTCCAGCTGCCGTGTCCTATAGCCATCAGTCCACTGCCACTCTGACTCCTTCCCCCCAGGAAGAGCTGCAGCCCATGTTACAGGATTGCCCAGAGGAGATCAGCCACATGCAGCACCAACCTGACAGGAGGTATGCTATCATTATCCGTCTTTTCTGACCAGTCAGATAACTTCCACCTCTCAGTGTCATTTATGGATTGCTACTCCATGAAGTAATTTTCAGGTCACATGAGCATTTTCTTGGTGTATCATCCCATAGTAAGCCCAGATAATGAACAGATCAACTAATAGTGCTGACTATCACATTAGATTAATTGATCCTGTGAACTTGAAGTTATAAAATAATATGCATTAATACTTACCCATTTATGGTGATTGTATTCATAAGTGCGTGGTTTGCTAATCGAACATGTTATTGGTCGTAGGGCTTTTTTTTTATTTGATGGAACTGGGGTTTGAACTCGGGTCTTTATGCTTGCAAAGCAGGAACTTTGCCACTTGAGCCATACTTCTAGACGTGGTAGGCATTTTGTACTTTAGTTTTCTGTATGTATGGGCAAGTCACTTCTTTGGACTATGGAAAAATAGATCTCCTGTTTTGTGTTCATTTGTTTGTTTTTGTTTTTGTTTTTAAATTAAGTTCACATAATGATTTATTCTCTTACAAGTATAATGTCATTGAAAAAATGAGTATGGTGTATTCATTTTATATTGACCTCAGACACCTTTATCTTGGTTAGCTTATAGGTTGGAATACTTTTTTTCCAAATTACTAAATAATGTGAGGAATTTGTTCTGTTTTATGTGTGGGGGGGGTGTGCTTAGACTTTTAAAACTATGTATTGAGTATCACCAACTAATACATAATAGCTCTATTTGTCATTTTTACCATATAAAGCTATTTCTGCATGGTGTGAGTTCTTCTCTCATTGTTGATGACTTTGTACTATTTTATTGCCCTTGACACATTGTAGTATATATCTGTTGCTTTCCATATTACTAATGTCCTTTGAAACTGAGTACATTATTTGCCTCAGAAGATTGTCCTTCAATAATCTGGAATAATTCTACTTTATGCTGCTTGACTCTTACTCTGTAGATTAAAACAGAATTTGCAATGTTTACAACTATTCTATCATTAAGAAGTTATTACCAAATTCAAATCATATAGTCTCTAAATGAAGGAAGTAGTTAAACCTTTTGTGTGACAATGGGAGGAGTTAGATTGCCATAGATTTAAACTTGCTATTAACCTGTGGAACTTTATGAAGAGTGAGACAAACAAAAGCCATCTCTTTTTCTTGTTAAGGTCACAAACCATCTCCTCTATTCTTATTAGAAACAAATAAGAAACTAATAGAGACAATTAAGCTCTAAAATACTTTAGCATTCTTTCATTTTCTAAAACTACCTCTTTCCCACCACACCCTTCTGCCTTGCCAGGGCACTCACTGTCTTTTTCCTGGCTACTCTATTCTTTTGTCTTCCTTATATAAACCTTTCTACCTCTCTTACAAGAAAAATCAGTTTAGCTTTATCTTATCCTTATCATTTTCATTCAGTTCTTCCTTGGCTTCACTGTTTAATACTTACTTTTAAACTTACCCTTTCCTTAGTCTTCCCTTCCAATTACACCATCTCCTACTGCTTGTATTTTTAATCAACTTCCTCCTTCCTGATTCCTATTTACACCTCAGCCCACTGCATTCTGATTTCTACCATCTTTGCGCCATCAGTGTGCTGAAAATAGCCTCTTAATGGTGAAATCTAAAGGCTTCTCAGTGTTTGTCACACTTAAGCTTTTGGCAAGGATGGCAATTTTATGAATTGTTGTGAGAATCAAATGAGATAATGTATGTTAAGTAATTGAACCAGGGCAAGTGCTCAACAAATAATAATTCCTTTCTGTCTTCAACCCTAAGCATCACCCTACCACTTAGTTCAACTACTTCTTGGATTTTGATGACTGTCAAATTTATTTTACCAGCCCAGACATTTTTTTCCTGACTGTCACAATTATATTTTTACTTGGACATCTCCACATGTTCAAATTTAAATCAAATTTGCAGTGAACTTTTCAAACTTGTTCCTTTGTCCAACTTTAATGGCTTCTTATCTAGAAATATCAACCATTATTTATTTGATCAATGAACTAAAAATAAGATAGCCAAGAGAATGTGCAAAATCATGAAAAAAACCTTTTTCATTTTGAAATAAACTTAATTGTCCTATTTAGTAATTTCTTTTGTTGTCTTCATGTCATTACATAAATTATTTACCAAGTTCCTTTAATGCTAACTCCAAACTCGCTCTTGATTTTATTCCTTGGTGTTTATTCCTACAGCTTCTGGGACAAGGGATCAATCCCTATCCCTTGAAATATTCCCATGGCTCTGATATTGCCTCAATTTTACTTCTCTCACTTCTCCTGTCCACTCTCACCTTATCTTCCTCGGCATATAAGTTTACTGCTCAGTATTCAAAGCCTTCCATAATCCTTTCCCTTTACTTACCTTTCCCTCCCATCCCCTTAACACTCTGTTCTAATTAGTCTGTTTCAAATTCCCTGAATGTACCTTAAAGTCACCATCCACACCAAGTCTTGCACATACTGCTTTTTGATTATCTGGCAAGCATTTTCTTGTCTTGCTAAATCCTGCTCAGATGGTATTTCCTCAATGAAACTTTCCTCTATTTGCCTGACCCCCCAAAAAAAAAGTTTTTAGAGGTTCTGTTCATATCTCTATTACCAGTCTTATTGGTTTCATGTTGCTTCAACATTTGTTTTTTGCATCTGTAAATTCAGTGATCTTTGAGGACAGAACTCTTGTCTTTTTCCAATATTTGATAAGTGGAATCTGATACTACAGTAGAATTTGCAAATGACCTCCTTCTGACTGTTTAGAGTGATAAATACTTGCTGAAGTGGACATACGTAATTAGAAAATGCACTGAATACTTGCCCTTACAATCAATTTGACTATATTCATCTTTTTTAAGTGGTATTATTTTTGGCTCAGAAGGAATTATGAATTTGATTTCTAGCATCATTTTTGTAAATAACACCAGATACTAACTTTAAAAAGTCAAGGAAAGTCCATTAAGAAATGCAAGCCTCTTAGTGCTTTTTTGTGATGTATGTATATTCTATATGTTTATTATAGAAATTTTGAAAATATAGATACAGAAAATTAAAGTATAAAAGTGCTAATGACCTGGGTAGTCAGAAAGTCACTAGTAAGAGCTCATTAAAGACTCTCAATCTTTTATGTCTATGTAGTCACACATTACTTTGAATTTGCGATATGCCAGCATTATTTTACAGGCCACTCTTTTCAATCAACAATGTATTTTTCTGTGCTGGTAACTTTTTAACACAGATATTTGCATTAAATATGTACCGTATCTTATTTGACCTATTCCCTAATATTTGCCTTTTGATTCTATAAACAATGTTGGGTTCTCCTCTATAGTTAAGCCCTTAAATGAAACCTCTTCACTCAAATGTTTTGCCATCAATGGATGACTTCTGTTACTTTTCCTTTTGCCACTTCTTTAACGTTGCTCTCATTAGAGAAAGAGAGATGTTTCTCTACAGATCTCATTCTAGGGCTTCAGACCTGTATATCCAAGTCCTTGTTCCTGCAGGTTTTTATGGCCTAAACATCACTCTGAGTGACACACATATCTTTAGCCATAAAACCACTTTCCTTGTTCAACAGCCACTTTCTCTTGCCTGCGTTATGGTAATGTTCCTCTAAGTGGTCTTGCTGCCTTTGGCCTCACTCTTTCTATATCTAAGACCCTGCAGCAGATTGTGCAGCGCGCTTTCCTAAATTGCAATGCTAATCAAGTCTCTCCACTGCTTATCTCTCAATGGCTTCCCATTTCCCTTAAAATAAAGAAAAGATTCTTTAATGGAGCAATCAAGACTCTTTGTGATCTGACCCTTCTGTCTCTTCATCCTTACCCCTTGCCACATCCCTTCACTGTCTGTGTTGTCTTTCTTCTTTTTTCCACTTCCTGGAATGATCATAGTTCTGGCTTACCTCAAGATCTTTGTACATGCTATCCATCTTCCTGGAACACCATTATCCCCTCTCTTTTTTAAGTTAACATCTGTGTATCCTTTAGATTCAAGAATAAATGGCAGATTCTCTTTCCTTGATATCCTAATCATGGGCTAGGATCAATTCTGTGTAGTCCTACAACACCCGATACAACCTCTGTCATGCTGCTTATTTAAAATTGCAATATGTAATTAACTATATATGTAATTAATTGTATCTTTCACGGATACAATTAATCTTATGTCTAGTTTATTCAACTGAACTTACAGTGTCTAAGTTTCTGTTTCTGTTGCTCTCCAACAAGCTGTTTTAAAACTTGGTAACTTAAAACAACCAATCATGGCTTTAGCCATATTGTTGGGGCTGGAATAATTCCCTCCAGGTTATTTTCTTCACTCACATCACTGATGTCTCGGTGTTCCTTGGTTTTCTCTGTATCTGTAAGGAGTCTTATCCTCAGGGTCTTACCATATTACACAGGCTTTTCAGAACACTAGGTCTTAGAATAGTGCACCTTCTCATGGAGCAGCAGGTTTCCAAACAAGCCAAAGGAAGAAATTATCAAGCGAATTAAAAATATGTACTCAGAACCAAGGGATACTCTTAATGCTGCTATATTCTATTGCTTGCAATAGTCACAAGGCCTATCAAGATCCAAGAGTATAGAGCTAAACTCTCTCTCTTGGAGGAGGAATAGTGAGTTTTCATTTCAGAAGACCATTTGCAATGGGAAATGTTGTGGACATTTTGCAAAATCCACTCTTTCATGGCCAGATACACAGCTTATATTCAGTACTTAAGTCTTAAAATTGAGTCTTTACATGTCTTAAAGGGTAAAACATTCCCTAAGCTCTTACTGCCAATGTCTCTTTGGTGTCAAAAAATAACAGTCTTTGTCATAATAGGTTCATGGCAAATGTATAAAGAATAAATATATTTATCTTTTTTATGCTTATTGTTAGGGTGTATATACTTTGGTATGTTTTAATAAAAATTACTGTAGTAAAACCATTATAACAGTATTAATTAGATAACTTTTAAATACTTGTACTGTTGTGAATACTAAAATTTTGCCATCCTAATGAATTCCTAAGATATCCCATTTTTCTAAAACTAGGCAAACTAGGTGACCAACATAATAGGAATCTATCTTCTCTTTTTTTTCAGATAATGCTAGTGAAAATAATATAATTAAACTTATTCTCACATACTGTTTCAAAAAAATGACTGCAACTTTCACATTTGCTGTTGTCCATGCTTAGTAAAAATGTCTTGAATAATAAAAATAATTTTCATAGATGGAATAAGAAATTTATTGATATTTTTAATGTATACAAGTTGAATATGATATCATTTGAAAGGAAAAGAAAGAACAAAAGCAAAGGAAAGTTAAGCATTTTTTTTTTACAAACTGCATAATAGTTAATTACACGTAGAATTGAAGATATACTAGTGTTAAGAAAATAAATCTAAAAGTTGTGTGTTTTCCCCTTTTGTCTTTTGACTGGAAAGTCCTGTTTGGCAAACTGTATAAACACTTACCTTCATGAATTAATAGAATCACTCCCTTTTTCTCTTGTACATGTTTGTGAAGGCATCATTTTAGCAGGTGTGTAGAGTATTGTGAGTTGTAATCCTACAGGGTACATTATTTCAAAAGACCCTGAAACTCCCTGGGGGAGGAATCTAGAGAGTTGAAGTTCATTTGCAACAAGTCCCACTTAGTGGATCATCCTGAGATAGATTTTTGTTTTCAAATAGAATATATTACATATTTTAAACTCTGCATGTTTATCACACATTCCCGAGGCTGCCCTTACTTATAGATGCTTTGAATAATTTTTTTCTTTCTTTCCTCAGAATTTGCCTGGGGTGGTAGTAGTTAAAAGCTAGCACTTGTTTAACCTGAAGGCATTTTTGCTCTACAGAAATGTGAATTATCTAAACAAGACAATGCTGGCATCCTTTCATAGCAAAGTTGGTCGTTCTACATCACTTTATTGGTGGTCAAAATAGTTCCTTTTGTGCTAATAAGTCTTACATGTCTTCAAAAAATGAATTTTCTTATGGTATTGTGGATTTTCATGCTGCCAAAGGCTGTAAATTATTTTATTGCATTCCAAATTAAATAATAGTTTTCTTCCTATGTGTATAACACACTCCACATTGAAACAATTGTCCATTTTAGTCTCTTAAATAACTTCAGCTCTGGCACATTTTTCATATTTCTTTTAGTGCCACACACAGACACATTAAAAACCACCCAGAAATGAGAAGTCATGCATTATATTAAAGAATGATGTATATTGATATACATGGAAAACTATATTTACTCTAAAATAGGTAATAACATATACTTAGTTATGTGCACATCTTTTTCATTATAATGTCTTATTTTTCACTAATTGGGTTTTTAAGTCATCTGTATGTGAGACATATCTCTCCTGGCTTGTATATATACAGGTACATACCTACATATACTTGTGTGTATGTGTGCATGTGTGTATGTGTAATAATACCAATCTTAGAAGGAAAGTTTATAAAATTTGAGCTTAAATTCTGCATTTGATATATACTAGCTATAAAAACTTTGGCAACATCTGAATTTCAATATCCTTATGTATAAAATGATAATTAAAGAAGTAACTCAGAAACTTATGAGAATTAACATTAATATGTAAAGTATTCTTGGCTCAAAGTAAGTGCTCAATGATTTAATTGTAGTATCCTAATACTCATTTATTTTAGAGTTTTCCATTTACACTAATAAAACAGGTTTATTGGAATGTCTCAATTCATTGAAACTTAAAAGCAAAAAAAGTTTTTCTCCAAAGACCTGCCATACCATCCTAAAAACATTGCTATGATGAAGTTACTTTTCCCTATCTTTAATAGGTAACATCATCACATTCTGTGTAGTTTTGACCTGCATTGGATTTTTACCAGATTCTGTATGGTTTTGTTTGTTTGCTTTTAATTTTATTCCGGGACCTGTTCATTTAAAACCTTAGTCATTCATTCCCAGGCATTCTTTGTAATGTCTGGTGGCTATGGTTGCATAGAGTAAGAGGACATGTTCTACTTTGAGACTTCTCTCTTCTCCTGCCTCTTCCAAGTGCTGAAGGAAGGAAGAGGGAACAGAATAAGAGCAAACTAGATGAAGAACCAGTCTTCTGCTTGGTTAGCCACAGTGACTAGTCTATCTTGTCTTACTCTGACTGTCATAATAGTGGAGAGTGAGGAATGCTGCCACAAACTTACCCACTGATGAATACCTCATTCCTGGGCAGCATGTCTAGACATTTTCCCACATCTTCAGGTGTACCATCAGTCATGCTACATCTCTCCTGGCCTCCAAAGCTGTGATGGTCACTGGATGACAGTACATCTTTATCTTTACTACATTCCAACAATAGTGCTTGGGTTGGCACTAACACAGAATTTGATGAGATATTGTCATGATCCCACTGCATCATCTCATTCACATCACTTAGAGATCACTGAGTCTGTTGAACAAGTCATTAACCAAACAGTCCTCCACCGAGAGATTCATCAAATTTCACCTCTTCCTCCTCTCCTCCTTCTTCTTCTTCCTCTTCCTTCTGAAGGTATGCTCTTAATTTAGGAGTTATTCTCTTGGTATTCTTCTCCATTAGAAATAACTTCTTTCTATAATGTTATTTTCCACTAAAGCCTAAATGCTCTCTACCTTCTCAGTTGTATTATATTCACTGTGGATGATGGTGTTGGTTGGTGTTAATGGAAAGATTGCTTTTAACTGGTGTTCTACAAGTCCATTGGGAGACGGTTGAAAGTTCTTATTAGTAACTCTGTGAACTTAGATTGTGGGATACTTAACTTTGCCCTCATCTTTAGTTTTACCTAATTCCAGGATTTGGGAAAAAAAATACCATTAAGCATATTGTTAAGCTGACAGATAGACTATCAGTAAAAAAAAAAATGGAGTTTAAAATAGCTAATAACCTTCATGAAATTCATAAATGATTAAACAGAAAAAAATTACTCTTTGGCCTCCTATCTCTTTTTTAATAGGATAAAATCTAAAAGTAATTGTGTCATTGCTGAATATATATATGTACATATGTATATATGTGTATATATATATGTATGTATATATAGTGCTATGAAATTTTACTGATTATAGTCAAGATGAATAAATCCATATTCTTGTAATGCTAGAAGTACTAATAAGGGAAAAGGATAGAAATAAATGTTTATGAAGAAACTTTCAGGATGGATGTCTATTGTCTTTGGTAATAATAAGCAATTGATAACATTGGAAAATCTTTAGGACGATATATATGCATGTATCTGCAAATAAGTTTTACTTCTCCCATTTTTAATTGAACATAATCTGAATAATAAAGCATAAGAAGAATTACATAGATCAGTATATTTTTATTAAACTTGAATAAAAATGTAGTCCAAGAAGGTTCCTGGTTGTAAGATACAACTCAAACTATACTGAAAAAATAGGTCAGCAGAAGCTAAGGTCAAATAAGTATACTCGTAAAATTCTTGGTTAATTCATTGTTTTGTGTCTTAAGTGATGAGCTGAGCTTTTCCTGTTTATTCATCTTCATGCAGACGGCAGCCTGTAAGTCCTCCTCCACCACCGCGGCCAATTTCCCCACCACATACCTATGGCTACATTTCAGGACCTCTTGTCTCAGATATGGATACAGATGCACCAGAAGAGGAAGAAGATGAAGCTGACATGGAAGTTGCCAAAATGCAAACTAGAAGGCTTTTATTACGTGGGCTTGAGCAGACCCCTGCCTCAAGTGTTGGAGACCTTGAGAGCTCTGTCACTGGGTCCATGATTAATGGCTGGGGCTCAGCCTCGGAGGAGGACAACATTTCCAGTGGGCGTTCCAGTGTTAGTTCTTCTGATGGCTCCTTTTTCACTGATGCTGATTTTGCCCAGGCAGTAGCAGCAGCTGCAGAGTATGCTGGTCTGAAAGTAGCACGACGTCAAATCCAAGATGCGTCTGGTAAGTTATGTACCCTTCATGAAGCTTAGAAAAAATCAACGTATGTATGTTACTCAGATTATCTCCTGTGTTCGTGCATCCTATGAGTAATACAACTTTATTACCACCTTTTCTTTTTTTACTGACTAAGGGAAATCAAAGTTCAAGAATATGACTTAGCTTTTCCTTGACAGAACTTTTAAAATCACTTATTTTATGTTGATTTAATAAGTCCTATGTAATTTGAACAATGAGAAGTTATCTGGGATGGCCCCATTTTTATGAAAGTCATAGCAAATATGTACTATATAAGTATGTTTTATACACATTTATATAATTTCTTTAAAATACGAGTACTCAGTTAAATGAAGTTTGTGTTACTGAATGCATATTGTAAATTGTTATAATGTAGAAAGCAACCAAGATAAAATTTATTGTGATACCTCTATTTGCTAAGAATGAAAGAGAAAAATATACAGCCAGGACATTCAGCCATTGGAAAATGGAGTATTTCTCCTCATCCTTTTTATCTACATGTCCTCTAAACTAGAATATTAATTTATGTGGGAAGATATAAAAATGTCTGTAATATGAATACATTTTCAAGGATATAATTTTCACATTTTGAATCTAATAATTAGAAGAACAAGACAATGCAAGTCATAATTTTTCTATTTCCCTTTTTCACTGCCAGTAGCCTATTTTTAATAAACATATAACCATTCTTATGCTTTAGCCCACTTTTACTTATTTCTTCTTCCCAACCCTGTTTAGGAAGTAGTGTGACAAAGAAAATAATTTAAATTTTAAACATATTTATTATGTCATTCATATATATATATATATATATATATATAGAGAGAGAGAGAGAGAGAGAGAGAGAGATTGATTAATACAGCTACACATACATATTCATTTCATTTTGTGTGGGTGTATATGTTTATTTATTGTAGCCAAGAAAATAGAAGAAGTAGAATAAAAGAACATGGTCAGAAAGAAAGAGATATAGTCAGGTAAAGAAAAGTCCATCACAGCAATTAAATAATTGATATTTCATTGTCAGTTTAATAACTGTCACATTGGTATTATTCCTTGCTTTCTTGCGATATTGCATTGGTCATTATTTTTACAGCATAGCATATATTCAGAGAAAATTTAACTCACATCATATAGTCATCTCTATAAATTATTTATCACATATATGTTGCAGGAAAAAGATGTGTAATATTCTTCAACTTATTATTATAGAACGTATACTTATTTTAGCCAGGCCTATATTTTTGAAATTCAACTGAGCAACCTTTTTCCCTAAGTAACTGCTGGATGGAGCAGCTACTACAAACTTAATTATCTTTCTTAATAAATAAATAACATCTTACTTTACATACACCTTTACCCCCTTATTGTTAATCATCCATAAAAAAATAAAATTAAGCATTTCAAACCACTATTTTCAGATTGCATTAAGGATGTGTTTCAATTCATTAAATTAAGGAAACGTAGAAGTAGCACTGAAAATTCATATGTGAAGGATCTTATGCCTCAGGGTCTGTGAACAGTGGATGGCCTTACACAGTAGAATGAATGATGGGTTTGTCTCAGCCCTAATTCTCTGTTTTCATGGATATGTAACTTTAATTGTAATAGTTTCCATCATAGCTAAAGAGAGTTTAGTTTAATATTTTATTATAATGTGATAGCACTCTTAGTTTTGTTTGAACTAAGCATGTGTGGCCCTCTGCCTATTACAATATTCTTTTCAGGAAATAGTATTGCTTATCATGTGATTTGAAATTAATATGAATGAATAATCCAGTCACATTGCTTCTCACATGACTGCATTAATGTCTATTATTTAATATGCTTTGGCTTGCACTTTTGTGTGTGGATTTCGCTATATGTGATTTCTGCTGTTTGTAGCCAAAAGACATCTTGTCTAGGTCTAGATCTGTTTGAAGTTTCTTGTGGTACAATATAGAAAGTTGTGGGTTTGATACTGGAATTTCTAGAAACCCAGACAATGAAGGTGAACATAGGGCCAAGAGTTCTCCACTGCCATATTGGATTACAAATGTTGTACCTGTCATATTATCTCATCTACATTAGGCAGCCAGGGAATTGCGGCATCCTGAAATGCACCATCTCTGATTAGTAAATTCATTTCCCACTGGCACCCTGGGAGAGTATCTTTCCAAAAATAAACAACAAAACACTACCTCTACCACCATCAAGACAGGAGTTTTACAGGGACCCCTCCAAGTAGTCAGAATCAGCAAATTTCTTGAGACAGAAAAAGGTTATAAATAAATTTTGGCAGGTCCAAATATGTGCGCTAGGTCAATTTTAAACTCTTTTTAAAAAAGAAAATACTGAGAATCTTATTAAGATATTAGGATTTTGCCTTCAAAGAATGTCATAAATAAATACTTAACTGAAATAGGGATGTGATTAGTAAAGTTCATTTACAGAACATGAATTTCTTCAGGACCCTGACACTTCCTCTTGAGAAAGCAACAAGCACTGATCATATTGTGCAAAAAATTAACATTTTTATTCAAGACTAACAATGTAGTGATACTAGCTGCAAAAATAATCAAAATGTTTTTCTTTAATAAATAGATATCATGAATTTTAGCAGAATAAAAGTACTGGGGTTGGTTCAAAAAAGAAAAACTGGATGAAAAAGTCTGAAAATGTTCTTAAGGGTGTTTTCTCCAGTGAAAAACAAAAGTAAAGTGAAAAATAAAAGCTATTATTTGCTAGATTTAAAAATTTTTTTAAATTAGGAATGTTTCTAGCCTTAATGTTTTGCTTCTGTTGCTTCTGTTGCTCCTGTGATAATTAAAATGTATTGAAGAATGTGGTCTGTTTTTTTTTTCCCCTCAGGTCGCCGACATTTTCATGCATCTCAATGCCCTAGACCCACAAGTCCTGTGTCTACAGACAGCAACATGAGTGCTGCTGTAATGCAGAAACCCAGACCAGCCAAGAAACAAAAACACCAGCCAGGACATCTGCGCAGAGAAGCCTACACAGATGGTAAGTCCATTGAAACGGGTGGAGACGTCTATGAATCTCGCCTATTTACACTGTCTCTCTCTAAGACTAGGAAATGCATTCACTGACATTAGAAATTGCATTAAAAATTCATTAACGGTAAGCTTCACATTACTTACAAGAGTGATCTCCTTCCATATCTGGTCAAGCATCTTTAGTCCTTGTAGTTTTCTAATAAGCTAGCTATTTAAGAAACTAAAAAAATGCATACCTTTAATATTTTTTACTTTATTTTCTAGTTTCAAACAAATGGACATGACTCTCATTGAAGCCATGACACAGGATTAACCCTTGTCAGATTCACTGACAAATCATCCAAAGTGTCTCTATTTTTTTCATTTGCTTTTTTTTCTTTTTTTTTTTTTACAACTTTACATTGAAACAGAGTTAATAAACTTTTTTTGGATAATAATTCTGACCGTAGTGGTATTATAGATATTTTGTACCCCAAAAGGCAAATCGAATCATCTTACTTCATGCCTTCACATACAATCTCGATATTCACTGAAGAGGGACTGCTTGCATTCTCAAGAGAGTGTGGGAGGATAATGCAAACATTGTGATGTTGTCTAGAGAAAGCCTTTAATGAAAGTGCCTCAGGTGGCCCAGCATTTATTAAACCACCACCTTCATTTTATAAAACAATCCCACAGGCTTTGTTGGAAATTCATGTAAGATAAATTCTTTCAGTCTCACCCGTCTTGTCAAGTTTTCTAAATTTGCTGAAGGGGTGAGAGAAGAAAGGTGTCACAGACATAGCTTCCCCACCTCCTGGTCCTCTACAGGCACAATCTGATTAGGACTTTCATTACCAGTCAGCAATTTTTCAAAAAGGGCATCGTTTGCCATTATCATATGAAAGCCTAATATTATAGATCCTTATCCAGGGTTACGAGGAGGGTTTTCTGAGGTACTTCTCCCTGTGATTCCTGCCACTTGACAGAAAAATTTAATACATAGCTCACAGCATGATGAGCTCAAGTTATTTTGCAATGAGTGGCTGTCCATGCTATTATTTGTACTTTATTCTGAGTATTTTCTCTTACTTGCATCTATCTGATATTAGACTACATTAAATACTGGCATGATACAGCACACCTGGGCCTCCTGGCTTCTTCCCAGGATTCTTTTGTCAGTGAAACTGAGCTGTCAGAATATTATCTGATTTTGAAGGATTATTACAGTGGCTTTGTGCATGTTTTGCCTCTGTGAAGGGAAAACACTAACTGTAAATCCCCAAATTCTACCAGCAATTTTACATTTATGGGACCCTTGTAATGGCATTTTACAAGTTTTATAGCTGTTTTATCAATTTTTATTATCTAGAAGGAAGTGCTCCTAACTGGAACACTGGCCAAACATCAAGCCAGGATGTAAACACATCTAAATTGAATACATAAGGGAAAATCTGGTCCAAAGCTTTGTGTAGATCTTCTATTCTTATTTATAAATGTTTGAAGGGGAGTCTGGCATTGAGTGATGCCTTCTAAAAATGTTTTAGATAATGTAAGCATGCCAAGTGAAAGATTGTAGCATTACAGTTATAAATTGGACTATGCTCGAAAATTGTTATCTATAGTTATTGTCCTGCATTCTGCAACATTTATTTTACTGTGTTTAATAATTAAATATAAGTCCAACTAATACCTGAATAAAAACTATTAAATTGAATGATGAAGCACCTAATTTAACTTTTAAATTTAATTTCAAGATTTATAAAGAACTGTATTGAAACATCTACAAAGCCAAAAAGTTAATAAGAAATATTATTTGGATTTCTATTTGCTCATTTCACAAAAGTGATTATGCAAAATTATCAGTGCATACTGCAGTGCAGAAGCTAATAATTATCACAAAAACAGACACACTAGAGAAATGACAAAAGTTGCTTTTAAATCTTTTACCATTTTGATAATCAGACATCTTTAAGGTATGATGATTATACTAATATTTCTTAAATGTAACTGTGAATGATTATTGTTTCATAAAAGAAAAAAATAACAAAGTTATGAGTTATTTTGTACATACAGTATATTGATTATTTAGGATAATAAAAATGCAGAAACTTCATAATGTATCAAATAGAAGAAATGCACATTTTTTTTTTTGTGCATGTGTGGTGCTGGGGATTGAACCCAGTGCCTCATGCGTACCAGGCAAGCTAACACTGAGATACACACTTAGTCTAAAATGTGTATATTCTTGATAGCAATGGTTATGACAAAGAAGTATAAGTCATTTTCTCAGAGATTGTTTTTATCAAATTACTATATTATACTTAAATATATGTTCATAGATCATTTCATGAAAAAACTCAATGACAGATACAGTTTACACATGTATTTAAAAAGATAAGGGGGGAGAAAGATACCAAGTTTTAGAAAACTTCCATTAAACATATTAGTAAGACATGGAGGGGTTTGTAAGGGGAGTGCGTTTTTTTGTTACTTTGTTTTGCTTTTTGCTTTCTTATGGGTGCAGTGTGTTGATTATGATGAATAAGTTTGATTATTATTGTCTCAAGAATGGACTTACTATGTGAACTATGACCAGGATATGGTATATCATTCTTGAATTTGTTTTATAAATTTTGTTCATATTGTGAATTCCCCTGGTAGATTTTTTTGTAAACTACATAAGAAGAATGAATGGTAGCTGTGTCTGAACAGATAAGAGTGATGATGATCCTTGTCAATTAATCCCTGTATTAGTTGCTTGAGGTACCATTACAAAGTACCACAGACTAGATGATATAAACAACAGAAATACATTTCCTCAGTTCTGGAAGCTCAACATCCAAGATCAAGGCTTCAGGAGGTTAGATTTCTTATGAGGCCTTGCTCTGTGACAGTCTTTCTGTATTTTCACATGGTCTACCTTCAGGGTATTGTTGTGTACCAATCTCTTTTTATAAGGTTACTAGTCATAGTAAAGTAGACCCAATGCTAGTAAGCTCATTTCAACTTAATGGGTTCCCTAAATACGAGAAGAACAGGCACATTCTGCAGTTGACTTTGTAAGGATGTAATGTGTCCTATAACAGCCCTCTTGCTCCTCCCTAATGCACAGCACTGTGGCCATGTCTTGATCTGCAGGTATGTAAGGCTTCATGAGCACCCAGGGAGTACTGGATGCAAAGTAAAGTGCTTCATGCTATCACCATGGCAACAGGAAAGATCTAATTATTTATTTATTTCATATTTGCCACTTTCTAGTTTAACCCAGATGGAGGACAGAATTAAAATATATGAATATTTAGCAGTCAAAGTCTTATGGAGTTAAAGCCAAGTACAAGTGCATTTGTAGGACCTTCTAATAGATTCTTCCTTCCCCTCTTTTCAGTCTTTCCAATACATTTGCATACTTGATTTAAAAACCAAATCTACATTATTTCTCCAGCCCTACTTTTCATAAATTATAAATTCACCACCCTTTTTGGAATGATGTTATTTTGGTTTGATTTATCATTAATTAGAAGGCCTTGGGACTTTAAGCAGTTAAGCAAATAGAGTGCTGGATCACTATAGTGAGCTAATACTGTGCTGGCAGAATTATTTGTACACACATGTTCTTATGTATAACTTTACATGCAGTATAATTTGTTGTTTGAAGAGTCTTGTGTAAGTAACGAGTGATTCTCTAGCATTGAACTCTCTTGAAATTTGGATTTTATATGCCACTGCCTGTTTTATACCTCTTATCTGGATATTCCAAAAGCTCTTCTCAGTCACTTTTCTAAAATTGAACTCATATTCTTTCTTCACAGATATCTCTTCCTCCTTCCTGTATTCCATATCTTCAGCACTGTTTTTCTCATCTACCTAGTTAACTATGGAAAAATTCTTAAAAATTATTGTAGATTCTTTCCTGTCCATTGATCATTAAACAATACTGATTTTCCTTCTTTAATCTCTCAAGCACATCCACTCTTCATTTGAACTGTCACCAAAACAGTTCTATCACCTATCATTACTTATATGAAATATGAGATATTATAATAACCTCTTGGCCTCCTGGAGTGAATCCTTTTTTTTAAAACACCATCCTTTCTCCTATAGCCAGTATAATTGAAGTCTAGAATGCAGCTCATATTCTTCTACTAATTTACCAAATATTAGTAAGACAAATCTTTCTTCCTTAGGGTGTACATGGGAGTCATTTTAAAAAGCAGTACTGCTTAAGGAGAATAAATTTTACAGATATCAAATTTTATGCCTACTTCTGAAATTTGACTATGATGTAAAAAATGGAATTGATGTATGATATATATTACTTAAAATATAACTATAATAAGAAGTTAACCTATATGTATACCGTGGTCATCTAGTTTAAAACTCTGACCTATAGTCAGAGTGGAGCAATCCATCATCATTGGATGTTAGATTGTAAGTATGTGAGTGAATGAAGTAGTATAGAGTAGCAAATCAGAAATTAAGAACCTGGGGGCATTAGTCCTGGATCTGGTGCATTTAGTTTTGAGATTGGAAAGTAGCTGAAAGTCTATGTGGAGCTTCTTTACCTACAAAATAAGAAGAAATTTAAGACAACTTAGCAATGTCAAACAAGTCTCAACTCAACCACCAAACTTAATTTGAAATGGTTTGCTGAAGGCATAAAGGTATACATCTGAGATCAGCAACCATATGTTAAAATCATTAGGAAGTTCTGCCATGGTTGGAGTAGGGGAGGTTACAGTTCATGTGCCCAGTTTTAGTTAGCTTCAAAATAAATAATCTCTAAGTCCCAACTCTCTCATTCAGTAGTCATGTGCTAGATGCTAAACACACATTAAAATTGTTTGTCTTCTCAATCTTTGGTTCATTTAAGGGACAGTATCTAACAGTTGAATGTGACTCTAATAATAGTTCTAATTTTTATGACTTTATAAATGACAGGCTTTTATAGTATTTTAAATATTCTTTATAGATCTTCCACCTCCTCCAGTGCCACCACCTGCTATAAAATCACCCACTGTCCAGTCCAAGGGACAGATGGAGGTACGACCTGTAATGGTGCCAAAACTCCCTTCTATGGAAACAAGAATGGACAGACCATCGGATAGAAAAGGAGGCAGTTACAAGGGTAGAGAAATATCGGAAGGAAGACAAGTTGCTGACCTGCGAACAAATCCAGGTGATCTCAGAGAAGCACAGGAACAGCAAAATGATGGGAAAGGACGAGGAAGCAAGGCAGCAAAACGAGACCTTCCACCAGCAAAGCCTCATCTCATCCAAGGTACTGATTTTTTCAAGCAGTTGGTAAACATAGATTAACATATGTTTTCAAGATACACAGTTAGGCTGTACAGAGCCTATGAAAAATGGTAAGATTAAAGTTTGCTCTCTAAAAATGGAAATAGGCACATTCCTAAAAAATTTAATACAATTCATTCCAATACATAACATTATTCTATACTTCTCTGGGGTGGTGCCAATTGAGATGGGTTTTGTTGTTGTTGTTGTTTTGGTTTTTGGTGGTACTAGGGATTTGAACTCAGGGCATCACGCTTGCTAAGCAAGTGTTCTATCACTTGGGCCACTCTGCCAGCTCTGAGTTGGGTTTTAAAGGAAAGCATGATTTCAACTGATTAAATACGGAGAAGAGGATATCAGATAAAGGAAATGTGTTGAGAAAAGAATATGAAATTGTGAAAATGAATGTTTAGTGAACAATAGTTTCCAGTTTTGCTGGAGAAAAAGATGCTTTGTGCTAGAAATAAATAAAGACAAAACTAGAAAGGTGATTAATTTGGAAAAGCTATGGGTAATGTTGTAAAGTTAAATAAGAACTGGTAGCCAGTAAAGAATGTTGAGTGAGAAATGCCATCTGATTTGTCACTGTACTGTATAAACAGTACAATGAAGGAAAAGACTAGAATCAGATAGACAATTATAATAATGTATGCATAGAATATGAAAGCAGTGAGTTAAAATGTTGTGAATGAAAAGGAGAGAATAGCTTTCATAGACATGTTAGAGATGGCCAAATAGGACTGGGTGACTAATGAAATGTTACTATGTAAATTAAAATAAATATAAATTAAAAGTTATTCAGATTCTGATTAGGTGCCCCTATATGTCTTATAGAATACAATTGTATTAACCAAAATAAAAAAAAGAGAAAATGATATATTACAGAGGGAAAATAATTTCAGTTTTGAATTGATTGTGATGCTGATAATATGGATATAAAGAAAATCAGTAAGTGTTTAGAGAATTGGGTTAAGAAAATGTGACCTTTGGTCTGAAGTTAAATGGATGCAAGTGGAAGACATTATGTTAAGTGAAGTAAGCCCAGCTCAGAAAGAAAAAGGCTGCATGTTTTCTCTTCATATGTAGAAGATAGACACAGCACAAATACAAGCAATATTATGAAAAACAGATCATACGAAGGAGAGGTACTAATGAGAGGGGCGGTGAGCAAAAGAAGGAAGTTAAGAAGGTGAATATGGATGATATACTTTCTATATAAGAATTAATATAAAATTTTTAAACCTGTTGAAATCACCATAACAGAAGGACTAAGGCAGAGAGGAGAAAAATAGAGGGCATGAACCAGTTTGGGTTATAATACACATGTACATGAAATATTACAATGAAACACCCTGTATATCTATCTTAGACAAACAAAAATCTCATTTTAAAAAAAAAAAAACAGAGAACAGGAAGGTAAAACAGTTCCAGTCTGGGGGTTCGTACCAGAGGGAGGGAGGAGGATATTTAGGAAAGGGTATGGAAGAGTGACTGTAGTGAAAATATGTGCTCATGTATGAAAATGGGAAAATGAGACATGTTGAAATGGAGGGAGGGGATATAAAGGAGAATGATGGAGGGTGTGAATTAAACTATGATATATCATAAGAACTTTTGTAAATGTCACAATGTACCCTAGTATAACAATCATAAAATAAAATAAAATAAAAACACAAGGAGAAAGCTTAGGAGTAAAGAATGGATTTTAGAAATAGCAAAACAGAGGTAATAATTGTGTGAATTACAAAGATACAAGGATTATTAGCTGTGATAATACTGATTAATGTTTAGTTAGCACTTCTCTGGGAGGAAAAACGAAACAAAGGCCTAATTTGTACCCAATTGCTTACTTCTGTTGTGTAAATATTCTATTGCTGATATGAAGTGAAAAAAGAAATGAGTACACTAAGCTCTTGTGAGATGTCACAAGATATCACCCAAAGTCAAGAAAGACTATACTTAGAGGATAGGCAGAGGATCCACACTCTGTAAAGTGAACTGAAATTATCCATCCTAGAGGTATAGTAAGGTATCCAAGCTACTGAAAATAGTATCCTAGAGCTAGTAGACCACTTGCCTAGAAAGGCCTTGAGTTCGATCTTCAGCACTGCATAAATGTGCCTGTTTGTATATTCTAGAAAGAATGGAGGATGAAACTTTTAAGATAAGAAGTAATATAATATGCTACAGAGGTGAAAGTTGCATGTGAATGTAGAGGAAAAAAAGGATTTTGCAATATGTCATCCACAGCTAGTACTAAAAAGAACTGGTTTTAATACACTAGTCAAAATAGCAGCCAGACTGTAGAGGATTGGTAAGTGAATAGAAACTTTGAAAGGGAGGTGATAAGCAAAAACTCTTAGGAGGTTGGGTTAAGGAGGAAAGGCTGGGATAGGGTTTGGCAAGAAAGCCAAATGGGTGGAAGTGAAAATGTTTTAGGACAGGGGACATGAACATTATTATCAATAAAGAAGAAGAAACCATTTAAGAGGAAGAAAAACAAAAATAAGATAGATGGTTGATGCAGAAATTAGGAGTGATAGGGGAATGAACCTGGCAAAGCTATAGGGCATTTTACTGTCTTTTAATAGGCTGTATTTTGGTAAGATTTATCATCTGGATGTTCTGTTTTTGGTCAGCTCATTTGCTAACTTCATTTCAACACTCAACAATAGAGGGTGGTTCCATCTTGTACTGGAACTGAAACCTGACCTTCTAATCCAGCAATGAAGCGAGGCGTGTAGCTGTGCATTCCAAACACCTCTACTGTATGACCACAAAGTCCTTGGTGACAGCACAACCCAAAGTCTGAAACACTAATTAGCTTATTTCTATCCATTAAGTCAGAGTTGGTCTGGCACTGAACTTTTGACTCATATTGACTGTGCGCCAAGTAGTGATTTATAAATAGAATATAATGATATAAGTTACGAACTTTATAGCTGGCCAGAAAGTACAGACCAATTTCCTACTCATAGGCAAGCCCACTCCAAAATAGGTGAGATTTTTCAGGAGGAAACTACAAACCTGGAATGATCTGTTGTAGCAGAATAAAAACAAAGGGAAAAAATTTAAATAGATGTTTAGAAATTAAAGTTGCTGTTACATTATAAAAATTATTTCTGACTAGAGAACTAAGTCTGGGATCATTAATCTAGAAAAGAAGGACTCTGTTCCATAGAATGCTTACAGGTGCAATGGCGAGTTACTGTTTTAAGTACTCTTTTTTTCAGATTTTTATATGACTCATACACTGTGTGTATGTGTCACTTCTATGCATTGCTGCAATTTTCACCTTTGTGATTCAATTTACATTATTTATTTAGTGAAAGAGACACCCTGATTTATATGTGCAATGAATGGTTATTTTTAATTAAGGAAAGTGGTCTTCTAGACTTGTATGTCTGATCTTTCTCCTGACATTTACCTGAGTTCCTTCAATTTATTTCTATATCTATCAAATATCCACTGTGTTATTAAGTTTTGTAGTAAGTGCTGAGATTTGTGTAAGTATAAACCTTGATTTCGGGGGGGAGGGGGAGAAGAGAAGGGAGGGGGAGAGGGAGAATCTATGAATTCACAGATTTTAAAAATTTACCTTTTAATTTCTGTGGTCTCCCTAGTGCCACTGCTCTTGATTACTGGGCCCTTCACATAGCCTATCTTGTACCACCAAGCACACCTTGAAGAATGAGCCAAACACCAATATTTTTATATTCAGTAGAACTTTCATGGTGCTATATTTGAGAGTCCAGAACAGGAACAATTAGCCCATGTTGTGAGCCCGTGTTGTGAAAATGTAGTGTTAGGAAGCATCTCCCTATCTTTCTTGGCAGCAATGACAGGTATTTATTGATGTCCTATTATAGGACAAGCTAGGAGTTTATCAACATGTAAAATAGACCAAAAAAAAAATACCTGTGCTCAGGGCAATTATATTCTATAACAGATTTTCAACTTATGAAAATGGATGAAATCACCCAAGATGAGTTGAGGAGAAACATATTTTATACAAACAACTTTGCACTAAGAAGAGAAAACTGTAGGGCACTGACATGTAAGAGAATTCCCAGAAGACTGGTCAGGAAGAGAAGGATACTAAGAAGTGAAGGTAATAGTAATGTGCAAATTGAGTGAGAGCAGTGAGAAGCGTAGAGATATAAGGACTGAAATTTGTTTAGCATTTTCAATTTTCTCAATTTTGAAGTAGTAATATTGATATAAATAGATTTTAGTGGGACACAGAGAGAATGGGATCTGCAACCTCCAATATTGAGCCCAAATTGCTTTTTTAAAGAAACTTTGCTGAGTGGGGAGGAGGGAAAGAAGGTATTGATTCCTGTAGAGAACAGACTTTAGGCAGTTTTTAGCAAGACAGTGATTTCTAACATATCGTAGCTTGAGAAAATGGAAGTCATTAGAAAGAAGCAGATATATGAAGCAGGGACAAAAGGAGAACGTCACAGAAGGCCAACTACTGTGAAGAGAAGTTGCCTGAGCAGTCATCCTCAAGAACTGTGAGACTCCTATGAGTGAACTGTGGATAGGGGTGAAAGTTGTGATGAGAAGAAAGAATAAGATGCCACCAAGAAGAACTATAATTGGCTTCGTAAGTAGGCCTCCAGGAGGAGAAAGTTTGTCATAGATGGGGGAGCAATGGCTTCTGGTGTTGATTAGCTGGAAACAAGCCTTCCACCTTACCGTACCCTTCCACTGAAGAGAACACCAGTGTACACTCAGGAGGAATCAAGTTTCACTTAGAAAATGTGGATAGTAAAGGAGGAATTTGAGGGTGGGGTTAAAAAAAAAAAAGCATGTAGAAGAGTTAGGTTTTTATATGTTTTATGTCCAAAGGGCAAAGTAGACAGGCTGTGGAGAAAAGTGAGCAGTTGAATCATGTATCATCAGTGAAAGTAGCAATAAATTTAAAATAATATGGAGATAGAAATTCAGGAAATACCAATGAACTAAGTACCTTGTCTTTTGAACTTGACACCAATGGCAGGCTTCTGAGATTCAAAGCCTGCAATGGAAATGTATTGTTGATGTAGAGGTTGGTACCTCCCTCAGTGGATAGGCAGGGGAACTCAGATTTGACTCTGATATTGTAGTTCTAGGAGACTGGGTTTGTTTTCTACTAATTCCTTATAATAACAGTTTATAGTTTATATAATGATTTCTCTAGCTTGTCTGAGTTCATATTAACACCAGATTTTCCTCTAAGTATAAGTTCTAATATCACTTTTTTGGAAAAGTGAGAACTACAATCAAAAATACTCACTCTGAGATCACCTGGTGAATGATGGATTTGGAAACCAAGCATGATTTCACCTTTGCTTTACCTCCTTTAGTGATACTGGTCCCAAGTGAGTTTGCTGTGAACACAAGCTTATAAGTAGAATCAATTCAAAACCCAGGCACAAAGCTTGTTATTTTCATTTTCAAAAGACAGTGCTGCATTATTCATTACACTTACAGTGTCCTCATTTGTTCCTCAAAGTCACTCTTGCTACTCCATGTGGAAACAGAGATTGATATGAATTATACATTATGCAGTATACACTAGTTGTTTGGTGACATTGGGATTGGAACTCAGGATCTCACGCCTGTAAGGCAGGCATTTTTACTGCTTGAACCACTCCACCAGCCTTTTCAGTACACAGTAGTGTTCACATACATCTGTTGTGTTTACTTCCACAGAGGATATTCTACCTTACTGTAGACCAACTTTTCCAACATCAAATAATCCCAGAGATCCCAGTTCCTCAAGCTCAATGTCATCAAGAGGATCTGGAAGTAGACAAAGAGAACAAGCAAATGTAGGTCGAAGAAATATTGCAGAAATGCAAGTACTTGGAGGATATGAAAGAGGAGAAGATAATAATGAAGAATTGGAGGTATCTATAATTTTCTCCCAAGTTTTCAAACATTAGACTATAGTTGTTATGTCAGCCTAAAAGTTAGGAACATCAATCAGCATTAGAGAAATGTTACTGTTTTATCACAAACTTTTCTGTATTCTAATGTCTGTGATGCCAGAAACTGGAGTTCTGAGAATTTAAGGATTTTTCTGAAATGTATTTTATAACTTTAAATGTCAACAGTGGTTTCTTTGCAGCTCTGTGGTTTATATTCATTTCCATATTTTCAGATAAGAAAGGTATAGTATATGCCAAACACATTCTTAGGAAATAAAATCTACTGCTTTAGACATTTTACAATACATATTGTTACATGAAAGCTCATTCAGGTGATAGTTTTATGATGTAAGTGGAAGTGTGTAGTCTGTGATATCTGTCACTCTAGTGATCATAAGGGTTAATTTGACTGATTTAGCCAACTATCTACACCTTCACTCTTCTAAAAATATGAACCTACTCTGTGTCACTGTTCCAGATGGGGAACATATCTTGAGTCAAATATTTCCTCCTTTATTGGAATTTATAAAAAATTATACAAGATATAGTTGGAAGTCATATCATATTATAAAATCCCCTCCATTCTAAAAATTATTATGTTTTCTACATTTAATAAAAATAAACTGGGGATGAATTATTTTACAAATGTGTTTAATCTCAAATGGATGCTAAATAAGTATTAAACTATGACTATAATAGAAGATGAAAAATCATAACAAATTACATCTAATTGAATTGTGTTGGATAAGTCCCAATGTATTTTGATTTGGAAAGAAAGACTTCTTTCCTACAAATTCTATTATGTTGTCTTTGTTTTTTTTAAATAGTAGAACCAATTTGGGGGACAAAGAGTTAATTCCAATATTTAAAAGCAATGAAAACAGAGTTGTATTGAAGAGTTCAGGCTGAGGGGAATAGAGAACTCAGTATTCCTTCTCCTCACTCCGAGTCCTGTGTTTCACCCTGCAACACCAAGGCATTGTGCAGACACTTTGGTGTTTGTTAGAGAACTGTTAGATTTGATACCAAGACCAACTAAAGTTAACAAGTGAATTAGGTGTCATGAGCACAATCCAATATTATGCCAATAAATGAATGAAAAATCACATTGGACTCTAAGAATAAGTGTGCCTAAGTAAATGAGACAATGCTCTTATGATTTATTTTCACATTTAACAATATTGCATTTCTTACAGGAAACTGAAAGCTGAAGTTAACCAGAGAGGCTCATGAGATCAATGTGAAAATTATCACTCAAGATGCCTCATGTCTGATGACACATGACTCCAGATAAAATGTTCAGTGCAATCAGAATGTACAAGTTGTCATTTTTATTCCTCTTATTGGGATACCATTTTTGAAAATTTTGTTGGTTTTTTTATTGTTGCTGTTTGATCCCTAACCTTTGAAGAACCTCCCTCTTCCCCCTCGCTGTTGGAACCATTACACTTTCAGGAAGGGAAGTTTTTTGACTTCTTGCTTCAGTCATAAGCCAGCAAGAACGAAAAGAACAGTTCTTTTGCATTTTGCCCCTGAGATACGGCATTGCACTGCTTATATACCAAGCTAATTTAGCAAAATATTGATCAAAGATACAAAGTTGATTAATCAACCTCATGCCAAGGGCTCTCAAAATATAATATTTCTATAACCAACTGCTAATGCAAATTAAAACATACTTCATTCTAACATTATGTTAAAATCAGTCTTTCATACCACCCTTTGCTGGGAGAAACTAAAAATATAGCAAATACAGAACTACAAATAATTTGAATGGGGTAGAAACATTGTAAATATATACTCTTTGCAACTCCTGGTGGTACTTTATTTTGTCTTCATTTCAATCATTGAAGTATATTCTTACTGGAAATGTACTTTTGGAAAAATAGGGCTAAGCCAGTTGGATCTCTGGTTGTCTAGTCATTGTCATAAGTAAGCCTAGCAAAAACTTTGTTCTATTTTTCAATCAAAAAGCAACTATAAATACGTATTACCAACAAATGGATGTTTTTGATGACCAATTAGGTAAGGACATCCCTATCTTAACTGGCCTAAATTTCTTCTGGTAGTGTCAGTTCAACTTTCAGAAGTGCCACTTAAGGAAGTTTGTTTGATTTTTGTTTTTGTAATGCACTGTTTTTAATCTTTTTTTTTTTTTTGGTTTTAAAAGCACAATCACTAAACTTTATTTGTAAACCATTGTAACTATTAACCTTTTTTGTCTTATTGAAAAGATGTTGAGAAGTGTTTTTAACCTGTTTTGTTAATGCTCTATGTTTGTATTTGGAATATTTGAATGATGACAGATGGTGAAGTAATGTGCAGACATTTTTGTGGGCCATGAACCAAATGGTTCATACTTTTCCTGGACTTAAAGAAAAAAAAGATTTAAGTTTGTTGTGGCCAATGTTGAAACTTACAAGATTTCCTTATAAGCTCAAATAGAGGCATTTACTTGCTTTGAATTGCCAAATGATGCCATGACTGTTGATTTTTATGACCTTTTTTTGTCATTATATAAATTTCACTGACTTAATAATTGGTGCTATTTGAAAGATTAAAAAAATGAACATTTATTCATGCCCAGGAACCAAGCCTGACCCCACTGGAAAACAAAGCCAAACAAATTTGAACCATAAAGAAAAGGCTGGTGTTCACCAAAAACTAAATGTGTTCATTTAGATAATTTGAAAAGTTCCATAGAAAGGGTGTGCAGTACTAAGGGAACAATCCATGTGATTGATGTTTTCATTATGTTCATGTAAGAAGCCTCTTATTTTTAGCCATAATTTTGCATACTGAAAATCCAATAATCAGAAAAGTAATTTTGTCACATTATTTATTAAAAATGTTCTCAAATACATCATTCTTTCTTGTGTTGAATTTTTTCATTGTGTGCTGATCAAATTTATTCCATTTAATCACAAAATCGTTTTGTCTTAACATTTCACCACTTTATTGCCAAAAGAGTAAAAATTCTCAATTAGTTTTATGAACATCCACATTTTACTTATAAGGAAAACTTCTCATTTATTTCATCTGAAATTCAGGATGTAAGGTGAATCAGAGTTTGAAGTTAACTATTTGATCGAAAATCAACTATTAAGGGTAGACTAGTTTTGATTATGTATGTGTATCTGAATTTTGGTTAGTGTGTTTCTAAAATAATCAGGAGTCAACTATGATAAATCTGAATTTGTAAATTTTGAACCACCTTTGTTTTGTCAACAGAAAATTATACCAGTCCAAAATGCTTATTAGTAAATATCTGCTTTCTTGTTACAAATACATGTGAAATTTTAAGAATATCATATACCTATCATATACTAGGTTGAACATTTTTATTCATTAAAGATAGTATATTCAAACATTCAATGTGGATGGATGAGATGGGTATCATGTCTTGGAAATGTCAAGAGCAATAGAATCTATTGAGTTTATTTTTCCTGTGACATATATTCTTCTACCTAAATTTTGTGTTTATTGCAATTTGAAAATCTGAGGACAAAATTGAAAAAGCAAGAGGGGTATAATTTGAAATTTAATTTTATAAAAATGAAATAATCACCATCATCTACTTATACATGAACAGGTCCACTGGTCAAGTAATCTGTTTCCAAGCTACTTCAAGGAAAAACTGGAGGGCCATGTTTAATAGCCTGATTTTTCTCTTTTCCTTGGTGGGCTAGCTAAATAAGTCAGTCTCTCTTTTTTATTATATAAAATATACACACAAATTATGTATATTAGAGGACCTGGGTTTAAGTCCCAGATTTGTCATGACTGTGTTTCCTTGGGCATGTTACTTAACCTCTAAGTCTCAGGTACTTCACCTGTAAATTCAATAATACCTACCTCATGGAGCTATTGTCATGATTTAGTGAGTTAATGTATATGATGTGGACTTTGTAACTTCCATAAACAATACAAGATACTGCTGTATTTATGGACTGAAATTCATTACACATGCAATCCCCATTTTTCATACATAGTTTGTTCCTAAAAATATGCATGAGAGTAAAAGAATAAATGTGGTATAAGGATGAGGGTGGTTCCATTTCTGGTAAGTAAAATTCACTGTGAAATACCTAATTGTGGAATAAATGCTTGGTGTTACTATTTGCTTCTTTGCTTTTGAATTCAAGATCATACAATGGATGGTAATATGGTGCTTTTAGCACTTTCTTTTACAATTCATGGGTGCAAACATGTCACTTGAGTTCTCAATAAATGGATTTAGTGTCTATTTTTGGGATGTTGTCTTATCTTATAGAAAAAAACTATATAATCTTAGGGGCCAGTAGCATACATCTATAATCCCAGCTATTCAGAAAGATCAAGGTTTGAGGCTAGTCTGGGAAAAAAAGTTACTGATCTAAATAAATAAGCTGAACATAGTAGCACACTTTGTAATCTTAGCAATTTGGAAAGTGTGGGTAAGAGGATCATGGTCCAAGGCCTGTGCCAGATAAAAAGACAAGACCCTATCCAAATATTAAATAAAATGAAAATGGACTGTGGGTGTTGATCAAGTGGTAGAGCACCTGCCTAGTAAGTATGAGGCCCTGAGTTCAACCCTCCAACACACACAAATAAGATACAATCTCAGATCCAGGTAAATTGGATAACACATGGCTTTGTTGGTCACTTTAGATACAGTCTGGATTTTTTTTTCTTTCTTTTCACTTGGCATCTAAATTCCTGAGAATGTCTCCAAGTATAGCAGACATGTGCCTGGGGGTGAGAAGAGAGGGGTCACCTAGCTTTGTTGTTCAAATTTCCAACCTTTGTCAAAACCTTTGCTCTGTATCCTCTGCTTCCCAGCCTCGATGCTCCTTATCCGTTAGCTCTCCCTGAGAGTTCCTTAAGCTCTTCTGTGCCATGCTGGGGCTTTAGAGACCCATGGTTAGTGATTGGTACTTCCTCAGAGTCTCACAGGATACCATTGTGTCTCCTGCAGTGATTGCCACATTTGGGATGTGTGTTGGTGGAGAAGAAGGTAAGAGGTATTATTGCCCCTTAGAAGAAACTAGCCTAATTTGCATGTCGAGGATAATCCCAATTAAGTTAGTTTGAAATCCACTATTTTACAAATCAAGAATTAGTTTCATTGAAATGTATCTGAAATTGGCGTGAATCTTATAGTCCTCCATGTTTTGCAGTCACTTTCAGCTAGTCAACATCAGGATATAGTTTTCACTGCTTGCTATCAAATAATGTGTGTCATATGAACAGATAGCAAGCATGTGTCAAACTATTTTAATTAATAAGGGAAATAGCTAGAAGGCAGAGCAGCTGAAGAGCAGCTGCAGAAGGAATTTAAAGATGGCTACTAAGGTAGTTAACTTTCCATAAGACAATACAAGCATGACATCATTATCTCTACTGGGCCAGAGAATCATAACGCCTATCTTTTCCTTTGTAGGCTAAGTGACTACTAACATTTAGAGCTGCACAAATTCCACACCTTTATTATTTGCAAATTATTAGTCAAAAGAATATTTGGAGAATTTACATTTACGCAAGAGAATCAGAAAGTCAAGCAGTGACTTACTCTGGTCTATGTCTCCCCACAAAGTGGTGTGTGCACATAGTTTCTCTGAGACCTAATCCCAGGAAATGAGAGTGGGAAAAGTAGATGAATAAAAGAAGAAAAAAAATCCATGAAGTCCTTTATAAAGGTGAAGTTTTCTTTCTGGAGCCAGGGACTCCACTGGCTCTTCTGAGAAGCAGGCAAAATGCCTCCCGGGGTCTTTCCTGAACCTGGAACATTATCAGTTCCTGTTCACTGGTTGCCTGCTGCTGATAGGGTGGGGGATTTAATTCCCAGGCCCTACAGAGCAGATAAAGAAGAAATAGGAAACCCTGAGGCAAAAAGAAGACAGACAGACATATGGCAGGTGTTTGAGATGGGAAGGTGCCAAGAGGAAGTAAGTGTAATCTCAGAGAGAAATGATAGCCACAGGGAGGCCTGCATAGCACCTACTATGACAGAATTATTGGAAAATGTTGTACCATGATATTGTTACCAGAGAGTTTAGTGCTGACCTATATCTCTGTTCTTGCATCTGGTTAGAGACATCAGGTAAGACTTGAAAATAGTGAAAATGATAGCAAAGATTGTTAGGAAAGGAATTTAGTATACCTTTTAGGATAAAAGTGGGGGGAAAGGAAGAAATATTTCCTGATCCCTATGCAGGAAATTGGAGTAAAAGTTCAAAGTCATGGCCTTCATCTGTAGCCTTATACTTTCTGAGCTGGGGGAATATACATGGTCGTGTCTAGTAACCTCTAAGATAATGGATCTGGGTGTCTAAGACAGGTACTAAAATAGGGTGATGTCATCAGGTCTACCCAAAACACAGGGAAAATAGATGTGCTTAAGAACTTCACTTTGCTACACATGCCTTTTATTCTTTTTTTTAGCTTTCTTAGAAATATTTTTTTAATCAGCATACAGTAATTATACAGGGGTGATATATTGTATCATTAATATATATGCTTATCTTAATTAGATGGACCCTTTCCTCCTTCATCCTCTCTTCCCACCTTCTTAGAACAATTTCAACAAGTTTCATTATTCTGTTTTCATACTTTATTCTTTTTGTCCCTCTCCCCATCCAAGGAGCCTCACATTGTTAAAATCTCCAAAAGGAAGGCAGATGCAGAGATCCCCTTTAAGTCTCCCTGTTCTTGTAACAGGATCTAAAAGGAGATGGATGTGGTGGTTAGCTGCTCTGGCTTTTTAGTTTTTACTTTCTTGTTTTAATGTCTGAGTTTGGACTTTCTTGTATTTATTGAAAATAATATAATTTCCAAGTCTCCTCATCTATCTAACCTGCCTCACCCATCACTCATGGCTAACTGCCATCTAACAATATTAATAATAAAAAATCATCAGTTTTTCTTTTTTCAAATTTAAGATTAATTTTCTTTCAGAATGTCCACATATATAATTAGTCACAATTCAATTAGTATTCAATTTACTTCCACATTGATGGAGTTCTTGCAAATTCTTAATTGTTGGTGATATACACATTGCTTTAACTACCATTTACCATAATCTGAACATTTTTACAATATCAGTATTGAAATAAAAATCAAAAAGATATGGATATCATGTCCATAAGGAAGTCAAATCTTAGAAGAATTGGTGTGTAATGTCTAGTCTTAATCTCCTTTGACAAATAAGGAAACCAAGATTTTTAAATGACTAAGAAATTTGCTGAAATTCGCAATAAAGATATATAAAAGTATTAATTCAAGCTTAGTGCCCTTCTTATAAATTAAAACTGTCCCTCAGGGATGAGAGCCAAGTTAATAAACATTAAAACAATGCCATACTTCCATTCTTCAATTAATCATAACTGAAGTGTGAAAAAGAAGATGGTGTCTGTGTTAGGAGTAGAGGAGGGAATAGATACTAAAAGTACTCTTGACAAATATTTAACCATTCCATTATCTTTAAGCTATCTGTAAATCTTAAAACATTATTCAGATATCAAAGATAATTTTTAAAAGTAAGAAATTATAAAATCATAATTTCCAAGTATTGCAACTGAACATTTATATATATATACACATAAGATAATCAAGATAATCTTATATATTAATATTTCCAATAGTAATGAACTTTAACAGTTTGACCTAGCTTAGCATGTCTTAGGCCCTGGGTTCAATATCTAGTACGGGGGAAAGGGGGAAGCAACAATTTGACCTAAAAGCAACTTAACCTTCCAAGTATATTTGCTGTCATTTTATTGTAGAATCTTGAGTAGTTGCTGTTCAATGATCAAGAAATTGAACATTGATGCCTAAGTTAGAATTTTTCATTGCTCAGCCCAGCCATTCCAATACTCTAATT